TCAGACTATTTTAAGTATTTAACATTTTTTTGTATGGTAGTTAATTCATTATGATTGTTGTGGCTTTTTTTGATTCTTGATTTGGTTTGAATTGCTTCTAATAGAAGATGTTGAGCAAAGATTGTTTAGGAGTTTATCTTGCTGTTTTATAAAACTGTATTCTGGGCCACAATAATTTTTAAAAAATCGCAAAAGTCTTTCTCCACATTTTTAGCTGCTAACATTTTAATTCACTTTTAAAATGTCCTGTTTAAAAAATAATGGAGGGAATGGAATAGATTTGGTGTTCAGCTTAAAGAGAAATGTAAAGTGACAGTTATTAGAAAGGCTGTTATTAAGTTGAAAATTCACTACAACAATCAAACCGATACTCAGTCAAACTATAGCATTTGGACTCAATGTAGAGATTCTGAATTTGTTCATTAACAGTTGCAATAAAACTGTATAACAGTGATAGTATTAGGTATCACAGTGATTTCCAGTAAACTGAAGTATGTTCAGCTTGGTGTCTAGTTAGGTTAATGTTTAGTTGATTGTGCTTACTCAGGTCACCTAACATGAAAAAGTACTGTTTCATGGTCTCTCATGCAGTGTTACCAGATTGCCAGATATAAGTGTATCTGTAGATACATCATGAGGTTATTGTCCCATTTCTTCATGCTTATTTCATCACAGAGGCTGACCCCAGCCTCTCCAGTTTCTTTGAATTCGTTGTCCAGCTCTTTCCTATATCCTTATCTGTGGACTTTTTGCTAAAGGAAATTCCTTGTTTAATTGGTATTTCAGAAAAATGGGAAAATTCATGGCCCATTGTCTCTGGAGTCATATCATCATCTTCACTAGCAATTAAGTGAAAAGCAGGCTCTAAAATTTTTCTCACAAAATTACCAACATGAATATTATCTTTAATATTGTGCATTTAATATTAATGCACAGTATTAACATTAGCATTATTAATATTAGCATTATTTAATAATGCTCATTGTGATAAACATGAAAAAATTAACTTACCACAAATCACTTTGTCTGCATTTAAAACATTGTTGGTATAAATAAATATATTGAAATAAATTTCAAAGAGAAAGTGTTTAAAAATCTCATGTACCATTGAAATGATTTTTTTTTTTTCCTGTTTAGGTTATAACCCACTTCAAGTCTTTGTAAATAAATGGAAATAGATCTATGAGAAAAGTTGATATACAATTACTAACAGATTACCCTGAAACTTAGTAGCACAGCAGACATTTATCATCTCATGACATACATCATTCCTGTGGGTCAGAAATTTGGAGCAGGTTAGCTAGGTATTTCTGGCTCTGAGTCTTTCATGAGATTGTGGTCAAGCTTTTGGTCAGTGCTGCAGTCATATCAAGGTTCCACTGGTTCTGTAGAATCGGCTTCCATGTTCATTCACGTATGGTTCTTGGCAAGAGACCTTAGTCCTCCCTGGAGCCCTCATTTCATAGCCACATGGTGCTCTCTGTAAGGCTGCTTGAGTGTCCTTGAAACATAGCAACTGATTTCTCTAGAATATATATATAATTGCAAATGACCTAGATGGTGTCTGACCATAAACATCAGACACCATCACTTCTGCCGTATTCTGTTGGTTTAGAAGCAAAGCACTAAATTGAGCCTACTCTCAAAGAATGGGGAATTGGACTCTGCCTTTTGAAGGGAAGATTGAAGAGTTTGAAGTCACAGTCACCACAAAGATGTACACTAAGGAGTCTTAACATTATATAATAAATGCTGTACTAGTTCCTTAATAGAGTAATTCTCAACTCTGATACTGTATCAGACTTATCTGTACAGCTCTTATAAAACAAACAAAGAAAAATGCAGATGGTTGTATTAGACCTGTTGATTCACTTGCAGTCAGATTTTCCATAGGTGTTTCTACTGTGCAGCCAAAGCTGTCCAGTGTCTTTAAGATGTACTTTTTGACTCAGTGACATGTTACTGCTATAATTCTGTAAAACTGTTACATTCCAGATATGTATAGGAATTAAGACTTTTTGGTATATGTATTAAAGTATTTTCTAGCTTTAATGTGTATAAGTTCCTTATTAATATTCTAGCATTTGAACTTTTGGTAGAACGTGGAATTTCTATTTTGTGTTTAGTATTGTTAGAGTTAAAATTGCTAATAGTTGTTACAATAAAGAGCGATAAAAATGAATTGAAGGATGTCATGTATCATGTATGTATCTGTTTTTCCTCAAATGAACTCGTAGGTTATCCTATCTCTCCCCCTCATTTGTAGTCATCTCTCCCTACTGTAATTCCCTAATGTATTTGTCTTTTTTTTTAAAGTGTGATTGGTAAGTCTTTTTGTGTCATCAGTATCCTTTGAAAATTTAATTTACTGAGCATTATTTATGTTACTGGCATGAAACTAAGAGAAGCTAGGAAGTTAAATCTAAGCTGGGGGTGGATTCTAAGTTGGAATTTTGCCAAGTTGGTGGCATAGAAGAAGAGTAGAAAGAAAGTGAGGCAAACATGGCTGAGGAATTTAGAGGTTGTTTGAAATAGTGGACTCTGAGGGGAGAGTACAGGAGGAAGTAAATTACAGGAACTGTGCCTTGGACAGCAACTAAGGGAGGTATTGTAGGGGGCTTTTACTAGGATGGATAGGGAGTTGGTGGCTGTAACTAGATGCTTGTAGCATTAAGTAAATTGGAGGTCTGTTTTTTGGGTAGCTCGTTGTAAGAAGCAATTTGGTGTAGTGGTTAAGAGAGCAGACTTTAGAGTAAGAAATTTAGGTTTAAATCTTGGTTCTGTTACTAATTTACATGTAGTCTTGGGCAGTTTGCTTAACTTTTTCCTGAGCCTCAGTTTCATCAGTAAAATGAGAAATAAATATAGAATGTAAAGTGTGGAGTACTGTTCATGGCGCAAATGAGGGTCCAGTAAATGTTAGTGCTTAGCTATTGCTATTATTTTATTATTATTTACCCTAACTTGTAAAATGATCTTTAATTAAATAGGTAGCAAACTTTAGCTTAGTTGAAAAACAATTATCTGCTTTTTAGCAATTGGATGGGCATGGTTTGGACATCAAAAACTTTCCCTCTTCTCTCCTGACCCTGTTTCTTTTTCACTTCCTACTCCCTACCCCCATCAACAAATAACCATAGTTACTTGTTTATACTTATAGCTATTCATTATTCAGACATAAGCCAACTCAAATATATAATCTCCTTTTCTCCCCACACAAATGGTAATACACTATACAAGTTTTTTTCTCTATCTCGCTTTTTTTTTTTTGTTTGTTTTTCTTGCGTTATGCGGGCCTCTCACTGTCGCGGCCTCTCCCATTTGCGGAGCACAGGCTCCGGACGCGCAGGCCCAGCGGCCATGGCTCACGGGCCCAGCCGCTCCGCGGCACGTGGGATCCCCCCGAAACGGGGCACGAACCCGCGTCTCCTGCATCGGCAGGCGGACTCTCAAGCACTGCGCCACCAGGGAAGCCCTCTATCTCGCTTTTTAAACTTAACAAATTGATAGGAAAATTTCTCCATGATATGAAAACTTCCTCATTCTTTTTTTGTCCTTTTGCTGTATGCCATTCCCTTGTGTAGATTTAGTATACTTTCTTTTTCCAGTCCTCTGTAAATGGACAGTTGCAGATTTTTGATTTTACAATCAGTGTGACACTGAATGACTTGTACACCTATCATTTTGAACATGTAAGTATATCTGTAAAGTTAATTCATTGAAGTAGAATTGCTGGGTCAGTTGCATTTGTGATCTTTTTACTGCCATACCCTAGGAGCTACCAGTTTACTCTCAGCAGCAATAATGTATGAAAACTGATTGTTTCCCTATAGTCTTGCCTCCAGAATATGTTTCCATATATTTAGATTTTATCAACTTTATAACAGAAAAATGATATTTCAGTATAGCTTAAGTTTGAATTTCTCTTACGGATGAAGTTATATTTTTACTCATATTTAAGAATCATTTTTATCTTTCTGTTAAGTATTTCATTGGACTTTTAAGTCTTTTTTACATTCTTAAGTTTTTGCTTCTTTTGTATAATCAAATTACTCTTGTGCAATATATGGATTTTCTCTCATAATTCAAAATGTCTTCATTACTCCAGAGTTGTAAAATAACTTTTTCTTGTTTTCTTCTAATACTTTAATGGTTTCATGTTTTTACTGTGGTATATGGAATAAGTTATGGGTCCAACTTAATTTTTTAGAAAGACAGCTGCCAAGTTTTCTCAATACCATTTATTTTGTAGTTCATCCCTTCTTCCTTGACTTAGATGTCACCTTTATAAAATTTATGTTTCTATATATATTTGGGTCTATTTCTAAACTTGCTTTTCTTTCGTTAAAATTCTGTATTGTGTGGTATGTTTTCAAGTTTCCCTTTATTGTCCTCTTTTTCAGGGTTTTTCTGACCATTATTTACCTTGTTCTGGGGGAGAATAGCCTCTTGGTATTTTTTTTGTTTTGTTTTTTTTGTTTTTTGCGGTATGCGGGCCTCTCCCGTTGTGGAGCACAGGCTCGGGATGCAGGCTCAGCAGCCATGGCTCATGGGCCCAGCTGCTCCACGGCATGTGGGATCTTCCCGGATCGGGGCACAAACCCATGTCCTCTGCATCAGCAGGCAGACTCTCAACCACTGTGCCAGGGAAGCCCGCCTCTTGGTATTTTTATTGGTACCACACTAATTATTAGTTTTTGATGTTTTGGTATTGTTTATAATTTGTTATACATTCTTTTTTTAATAATAGAGCCTACTGAATCTTTAATACATGTGTTAGTGTGTATTTGGCAGAATACTGAATGATGACTACATATACCATGTAAAGCATATTAAGATAAGGGAGAGAAACTTATATTTCTTCATTGCTTTCTATGAACCAGATGCTTTTTTACATATATTAACTCATTTAACTATCATGCTATTAGTTTGTAACTGGAATTCATAGAATGTGCAATTGTTTATGGTTAAATTTCCTTCAACATTGCTTTTTTCTTCAGCTGTGATGCAGATCCTTCAGCCTTGGCAAAATATGTTCTCGCTTTGGTAAAGAAAGACAAAAGTGAGAAAGAATTAAAGGCGTTATGTATTGATCAACTGGATGTATTTCTTCAAAAAGGTAAGATCTTTGGTTTAAAAATACTAATTTAAAAAGTTATTTAAAATAAGATTCAGAGAGTGTTAAAGGAGTTCAGTAAGGGACAGACTCTTAACTAACAAAGTTGAACAAATAGTATTATTACTGATTATATCCATAGCTTATTTATAATGGAAACCTTTTCTTTCATTAACATCCATATGCTTATTCTTAAAGAATGCTGTTATTTTTTTCTTAAGAGATTAAAAAAATGACTGAAAGATAGTACTGCTTAGGAACCTACTTTGGATATTGTCTAGCACAGTGCTTCTCAAATTTTTTCACCTTGCCAGCATTTAGGTAATGATAATATTTCTGTTTGGCACACTAGGCAGGATACATGGAGACTAGTGATGGCTGGGAGTGACTGACCCAGAGGCTCTAGCCATTATAGCCCTCAGCATCCTGAGAATTGAATGGATCAGTATTACCATGGGACTTGTGCCATAGCACACTGGTTGGGAAGCTGTTGGTCTTAGTATAATTTTTAGATTTATAAAAATCAAGGCATATTTCATCATACTGATGTGGAGAAGTAGAGAATAAATATCTTAGCAAATGTTTTTTAATCTATGCTGGTTTTGGTTTTATTTTTAGAGACACAGATATTTGTGGAAAAACTTTTTGATGCTGTGAATACAAAGAGTTATCTACCTCCTCCAGAGCAGCCATCATCAGGAAGCTTAAAGGTAGAATTTTTTCAGCACCAAGAAAAAGATATAAAAAAAGAAGAGGTAAGAATTTGTGTTAAACTTTACATGTTCTTTAAAAACATATTTGGAGTGATTAAACTGAGTTTTATTTTTTTAAATTTATTTTTAGTTTTATTTATTTTTATCTGTGTTGGGAGTCCTCGAGACCACCTCCAGGTTTGATTATTTCACTAGGAGTACTCACAGAACTCAGAGCATATAGTCATACTCATGGCTATGATTTCTTACAGTGAAAGGATACAAAGCAAAATCAGCAAAGGGAAAAAAGTATATGGTGCAAAGTCTGGGGAAAAACAGGAACAGATTTCCAGAGGTTTCTTCCAGTGGAGTCAAAGAAGATGCACTTAACAAGTAGTGACAACATGTGTGAACCAGGGACGCTCATTAGAGACACAGTGCCCAGGGTTTTTATTTAGCGCTGGTTACATAGGTATCTTCAGCCTCGTATGTACCAAAATTCCAGACTCTGTGGAGGAAAGCAGATGTTCAGCATAGACCATATTGTTTATCCAGACAATTTAGGCATAGTGAGCTATTGTTATCAGGGAATGATGTGAACCTTCCAGAAATTGTTGTTTGCAGATGCCAGCTAAGGGCTTACCTTATCAGCAGGTCTTTCTAAAGACAACAGTCTCAGGAGTGCTTTTAACTCTTTTCTGCACATTATCTTATAGGTATGGACTCTTATTATCTGTGTTCTATGAAAATAGTTAGATTGTCAGTAGATCTGTTTGCTTCTGCCTACATGCATTTTGTAGGGGACTTTCTTTTAATAGAATTTATTTATTTATTATTTATTTTTGGCTGTGTTGGGTCTTCCTTGTTGCACACAGGCATTCTCTAGTTGTGGTGAGCGGGGGCTGCTCTTCGTTGCACAGGCTTCTTATTGGAGGAAGCCCTGTAGGGGACTATTTTTAAGGTAGTCAAATAAAAGGACCTTCACAGGGCAATGGAAATGACTTCATACTTTAAGAGGTGTTTACCTTTCATACAAGATTACCCTCTTGTTTAATAATCATATAATAATTCAAATTTCCTCAGTTTGATGTTTAAAGATTGTAATTTTAACAAAAATAATCGTTGACAATTAAGCTATTAATATACTATATCCATGGTTAGCCTAGTTTTAGGTCGAACAAATCTTGGTTAAAATTTTGCCACCGTTTGGGGCTTCCCTTGTGGCTCAGTGGTTGAGTCCGCCGGCCAGTGCAGGGGACATGGGTTCAAGCCCTGGTCCGGGAGGATCCCACATGTCGCGGAGCAGTGAAGCCCGTGCGCCACAACTAATGAGCCTGTGCTCTAGAGCCCACGAGCCACAACTACTGAGCCTGAGTGCCACACTGCTGAAGCCTGCACGCCTAGAGCCCGTGCTTTGCAACAAGAGAAGCCACCCAGTGCTGCAACGAAGAGTAGCCCCTGCTCGCCGCAACTAGAGAAAAGCCTGCGCACAGCAACAAAGTCCCAATGCAGCCAAAAATAAAAATAAATAAAATAAATTAATTAAAAAAAATTTTGCCACCATTTTGTGACCTTGAAATTACTACTTTTCCAACCCTTAGTTTACTCAGCTGTGAAATGGAAATATTATAGGGCTGTTGTGAGGAATAGTAAAATAAGGTCTGTGAAGCACTTGGCAGAGTGTGTGGCACAAAGTAGGTTTTCAGTAAATGATAGTTGTTATTGTTGAGACATTGTGGAGGGTGTGGTTGTGACCTTTGGTTTTTTTCACCTGATACTGTTTTTTTCCAATTAAATAAGTAATATATGTTCGTTATGTTTACATATGTTATATAATAATATTTACGTATGTATGATATGTATTGTAATTTACATATGTATTTACATATGTATTATATAATTCTCAAATGTATTTTTGTCTCTGTATATCTGAACATATTTGCACACATGTATATATATATATAGTTACATGCACATATACATAAGACACCCCCATCACTTCTGTCTTCAGAGGAAGACCAGAAATAATTTTATAACTGCATGTTTTGTACCTAATGGTATAGGGGGTCTGTTAGTAAGGAAGAATGGGATAGTGGATATTGTCTTGGCAACTGCTTATGCAACATAGAGATATACAATAATTTATTTAAATTTTACCCATTGATGGAAGTCTGGGTTGGTTCCAGAATTTTTTCCAGATAATTGCAAATTATATTTTAATTCTTGGAAACCTTGAGTAAATCATGGGCTCTTTGTTTGAGAAGCAGTAAGCCTTAGTCTTACATCTGTTGATATAATAATATTTCACCACAGTTGTCTTGAGCAGTTGTGAAAGATATTTATCCCTCATCTTTCAGAACCGAAATGTCAGGTGGCAGTCTGGATTTTAAATGCTGTGGGTGTTGTGAAAGTTCGCAGTTGGGCAGGTACCATGGAATGTGACAGTCTGTCAACCTAACTTACTTACAAGAGTGCATGGAAGCAAACTGAAGGGAAATAGTGCATCAGGAGGGTGTTTTGTTTTGTTTTGTTTTTGCAGGGGGGAAGGTTGAAATGGATAGGAAGAGTAGAACAAAAAAAATACTTATAAGAAAGAAAAAGGCAAACTGTTAAAGAAGGCTTTTAAGTATTATTTCTCAGAGTTTGGTCTGTTGATAGGATTTCCATTTAATTTATCATCTAGTGTGAGACACTTGACAGTGAGAGGCTTTTACCCAAAGGAATGCTGAAACAGCTGGCATAAACTGGGACATATTTATGCTATCTTTAGGCCGTGTGCATAAGGATATCTTAGGGTTTTTATTAAACATGCAAAATCTTGAGCCCTATCATATTTACAGAAGCTCATGTTCAATATTTTCTGAATTTGTTTATCCTCTGAATCCTTTTTTCTCTAATAACACCTCTTAATGTCCTGTGGAACCATTTTTTTGGGCAGCATGGAAAACTGGTCTAGAGAAAGTAGCACTGATCAAGGGAATGTTTTTCAGGGCTGCATTATATTAATTATATAATATGAATTGTAGGAAAGAGGAATGTATAGCTGTCATACTGCTGTGAGAAACTAGAGAACTGTTTTCACTTGTTTGTTTATTTTCACAGGTATTGTTTTCTCAAATGTTTTCTTTTTCTATGACTTGGTTAGTTCTAATGCATTCTCCTTTAGTCCCTAATGTGTTTGGTGCCAGATCAAATCCATGAAACCAAAACTTGAATGGACTTTGGAAAGAAGGAATAAAATTGGCTTTCCATTAATGATGTGTAAAATGAGGACGCTTGCTTAAAATGTTTTTCTTGCTACTGTTATCTAAAATAAGCATTTATGAATTTCTTTACCGTTCACTTTAACTTTCAGCAAGCCTGTCTTTTATTGTTAAATTAAATGATTGTACTTAGAAGACAAATTTATTTTGTTTAATGCTTTCACAAGAAGACTCTATTGCTCATATTTTAATATCAGTTAAGTCATTGAAACAGTAACATGGCAAGGAATAACTGTTGTTAAACTTGCACACATTTTTCTTTGTGTATCAGATCACAAAAGAGGAAGAGCGAGAGAAGAAGTTTTCTAGAAGGCTAAATCACAGTCCTCCTCAGTCAAGCTCCCGATACAGAGAAAATAGGTGATTGATTCTTTGAACTATGTTCAATGTTTAGACATTGCTTTTATTTTATTTGAATATTTAGACTTGATTTTCTTTTACATAGGGGTAAGTAATATCTACTCTTTTATTGGTCTAGGAAAGTGGTAACTCACTCCTTTTCTACCAAGAATATCTAGGTGAGATTTGTTGGTCCTGGAAGTGAGATTTAGAACAGTGCTCGGCATATGTTGGTTATTGTTATTATTTTTATTCCTAACTGCAAATTCCAGTGAAGTCTTAATGTGAGACTTTTTTGCCCAAAGTTTCCCTTTAGAGTAAATACATTATTTTTCCCATTAAGGCTTCAGAAGGATTTATAGTGCAGTGCATGTAATATATGCCTATAAGTACGAGACTGTGTACAAGACAATATATACTATAGGACATATGTACAGATCCCTTAATGTATAGATGCATTTGTGTATAAAATGAAGACTTCAAAAGAGTTCTTTTTTTCCTTAGCAGGGGTTTTAGAGTACTTTAGCAGGTCATGTTCAGTTTTTCAGTTTTTTGAGTTTCCTATGTTTGTATTCTGATGGTGGGATAAAGAATCATGATGGTACAAGAATAAAATAGAACTTTTGCATTTAATTGGAGTTTTTCCTGTATCCACTTAAATATTTTCCTAAAAGTGATCATATATTTCTTTAGAAGTCGTGATGAGAGGAAAAAAGATGATCGTTCTCGCAAAAGAGATTATGATCGAAACCCTCCTCGAAGAGATTCATACAGAGACCGGTACAATAGAAGACGAGGGCGAAGTCGCAGTTACAGCAGGAGTCGGAGTCGAAGTTGGAGTAAAGAGAGGCTTCGTGACAGGGATAGAGATAGAAGCAGGACTAGAAGCAGAAGCAGGACCCGAAGCAGGGGTAAATAATCCACATATATGTATATTTTGGTTGGCACTTTCATTGTGAAAAAAATTCTGTATTTGAGGGTTTTAAAAATTGTTTTAATTTTGTCAGTGTTATCTTTATTTTTTTCTATTTTGATGTATTTTGTGGGTCCAAGTGAATACTTTTTAAAAATTTCTTTAAAAATTTTTATTTTATACAAATTAAAGCCACAATGAATTACCACTGTACACCCATCAGAATGATTGAAATTTAAAAAGACTTGCTTTACCCAGTGTTGGTGAGGATGGAGATAAGCTGGAACTCTTTGGAAAACACTTGAACAGTATCTTAAAAATGTTCAGCGTATACCTACCAAAGGATCCAGTCAGTCATTCCATTCCTAGGTGTTTACTTAAAAGAAATGAAAGTGTATTTCCACACAAAGACATACACAGATGATCATGGCAGCTTCATTTATTATAGCCAAAAGCTGGAAACAATCCAAACGTCCATCAGCAGGTGAATGGATGAACAAATTATGGTATATCCATAGAATGGATAAAAAGGAAAGAACTATTGATACATGCAGGAAAATGCATGAATCTCAAAATAATTATGCTGATTGAAAGAAGCCACACAAAAAAGTGTGTGTGTGTGAGAGAGAGAGAGACAGAGACATAGAATTTTAGAAAATGCAGACTAATCTATGATGACAGAACTCAGTGGTTGCCTGGGATAAAGTAAAGGAGGGATGGATCATAAATGGGAACAAGGATACTTTTGGGGGATGATGAGTATGTACAGTATATACCTTATTTTGATTGTGATGTTTGGTTTCACAGGTGTATACATAGATCAAAATTCATTAAATTCTACATTTTAAGTATGTTCAGTTTATCATATATCAGACCTCAAAACTATGAAAACAGTTAAAAATTTTCATTTCAGATGTGTGAGTTTACAAGAGCGTCTCATTTCCAACATACATATTTTTCTTTCAATGTGTGTTATTGAAAGGGATATATTGCAGGCAGTAAAACAACTAAACACCTTAAGAGTAAAACACCTTTACTCAACTTAGAATTTTACTACCCTTGCGACCTTTATTGTATAGTTACTTTTAGTCTTTAGGAAATAATATTTATGGCTTTTATATAAGCCCTGTATTTCTCTGTTACTCTTAGAGTTTTTCGCCCCCCCCGTGATCTAGGTGTATTTTAGGCCTTTGTGCACGTTGCTTCACTTAACTGATCTCCTTAATGTCTTTTCTCTTTCCTTGGTAAATTTTCTTTTCTTGGCCCAGTTAATTTCTTTGTATTTATTATGTACTCCTTTTTCTTCCTCTTTACACATCCATTCTCATCTTCAGCAAATAGTGTTCAGTGTATAAAGCCATGCTAGGACCTTTGAATGGATGACAACTAAATATTCACCACAGAAAAAATAACCGTACTTGTATATTTTGTTTTGTTGGCTAAAGTTATGCATACTAAGATTGCAATGAAGAAAATTTAAAAATTATCTGCTATAACTAAAACTCAAAGAAAAATCTCATTAAGTACAGCAAGTTTATGTGTGGTTTTTTAGTTTAGGTCATATTGAAAAGAAACAGCTTATCTTGGAACATTGTATATACATTGAATAGTTTTTAAAAGGAGGATTGTGTAAAATTTGAACTTTTTTTCTATGTTTAGCAAAAATATTGGGTTGGCCAAAAAGTTCGTTTGGGTTTTTCCATAACGTCTTATGGAAAAACCCAAACGAACCTTTTGGCGAACCTAATATCTATTCTTAGCTTGGGGACTTGTGTGTTTTTTGTTTTTTTTTAAAATAGAGTGTAGTTTTATAAGTCATTTATATTTTGTTGCAGAAAGGGATCTGGTAAAACCTAAATATGACCTGGATAGAGGAGATGCATTAGAAAACAATTATACTCCAGTCTCTTCGGTACCTAATATTTCATCTGGCCACTACCCTGTACCTACTTTGAGCAGCACTATTACAGTAATTGCTCCTACTCATCATGGTAATAATACTACCGAAAGTTGGTCTGAATTTCATGAAGACCAAGTGGACCATAACTCGTATGTAAGACCACCAATGCCAAAGAAACGGTGTAGAGACTATGATGGTAAGCCTGTCAACTATTTCATGAGGTATCGAATTAATATTTCCACCTGAGTAACTTCTGTAAATTTAGGTTATACACAGTTACTCCAAGACTTAACCTATTGGAAGTAGTGGGAAATTAGTTTTAAGCACTTCATGAATTCCTCAGTATATTACTGAAGTCTTCATTAGTCACCACTGACTATTGAATATCAATTTAAAGATAGTGTTTATTTGCACCAAGTCTTAACATATTTTTGGAATTTGACAAACAAGAGTAATATCTACTGAGTTACCTACCAGGGAATTGGCTACTGAAACATTCTTGACAAAACTTACTTCTTTAGAAATCAGTGGTTATTAGCATGTAAGTAAAACCTAGAAATGTGAATATCACCTATATAAGCATTTTATAAATGAATTGAAGACTCTTTAAGATTTTACTGTAAAAGTTTTGTAAACTGTATTAAAGCTGTATCATGTTGCTAGCTGGGTATACTCATTTTAATTTGGTAATATATTTTTTAGTGGGTATGTTAGCTATATTTTCACTTAATATATATTTTATATTACTGGAAATGAGTAGGTAGCTCTTGTGATATGGTTACTTATACTTGCCCAGTATTAAAAATATTCCTGTTTTTAAATATCTCCACTTTTTTTAACTTAGAGAAAATGTATATGTCCAGCAGTTTTCATATTTCTTTCTAATTGTTCTTCCTCACAGAAAAGGGTTTCTGTATGAGAGGAGACATGTGCCCTTTTGATCATGGAAGTGACCCAGTAGTTGTAGAAGATGTCAATCTTCCTGGTATGCTGCCTTTCCCAGCACAGCCTCCTGTTGTTGAAGGACCACCTCCTCCTGGACTCCCTCCACCACCACCAATTCTTACACCCCCACCTGTGAATCTGAGACCCCCAGTGCCACCGCCAGGCCCATTACCACCCAGTCTACCACCTGTCACAGGTAAGTAAATATGTTTGCCAATACTTATTATCTGTCCATTCATAGTCTTTTATAAAAGTTGTTAGTTTGATGCTTGATTTTGTTAAAAGTATCTAAAGTAATCCTATAGATGCCTGTTAGGAACTAAGAGTAAGATGCTCCCATCTGGAATATACTCCTTATTTTTCAGGCTGTGCCAGACCTATGGTTTACTGTGGTTTAGGGTGGCCCTGAATTATGCATGTTACTGATGAATCCCAGCTATCTGTAGTCCTTTATAGCTTAAGACAAACCTGTTTTGGAATACATTAAATGAATATTTTACCCTGAAAAACTCATATAGTTGTAAGAGCTTGGTGTTTGTAGATATTATAATTTGCTAAAGGAGAATATCACGTTTGGATATACAATAACTTATTTTATTTGTTTGCTTTCAGATGATATTTCTTATTCTTTGGTTTTGACAGGACCACCACCTCCACTTCCTCCTTTACAACCATCTGGCATGGATGCTCCCCCAAACTCTGCGACCAGCTCTGTTCCTACTGTGGTAACAACTGGCATTCATCACCAGCCTCCTCCTGCTCCACCTTCTCTTTTTACTGCAGGTGCGGTTTTGGCTCTTTCTGTATTAATAATGTAGTATAGTTTAGAGAAGAGTTTTAGGTGAGGAATTTAAAAATGTCTAGAGAGTGAATTGCTCTATCAAGTCTGTTTTTCTTACTAAAATTATATGGAATAAAATGTAGACATGGTGAATGCACATTAAATATAAGTTCTCAGTTACACTTTTTAAAAAACTAAGTTTTTAATATTTAATTTTTATAAGACTATATTTAAAAATACATATGCATGTTAGTTATGAATTAGTAATATGTTACGTAGTTGACTTTTTCTATTATCAATATAAAAAATTACCAAGAGGAGTTTTATAATTGTTTTTTAATTGCAGTTTTTGTATTACCAGATACATATGACACAGATGGCTACAATCCTGAAGCCCCAAGCATAACAAACACTTCCAGACCAATGTATCGGCACAGAGTGCATGCGCAAAGGCCTAACTTGATAGGACTAACATCAGGGGATATGGATTTGCCACCCAGAGGTACTATGATGAATCTTTTCTTCTTATCATTTTCATAATATCAAGAGTGGCAAAGCATTTAAAAAGAACAGTCGGTCCTGTGTTTATTGGGGTTGAGTAAGGGATGATGATTATGTTTGTTCCTTGGATCCTTTGGTCTCACATGAGAGAAAAGGTAATGTGTAGTACCCTATTTGTGGTGTTGGTGACATTTTATTCTGTCATCCAAGGGGAAAGGAATTTCCCCAAAGTCCTTATTTTCTAGCTTTTTGGGGGTATATGCTATCATTTGCAGTCTTAATTGGTGCATTTAAACTCTTTAAGAATAATGCTTTAATTCCTAAAGATAAATTCTTTTGTAGTTTAGATCATGAAATTAGCTGTACAAATTTAATGCTTGATACATATTTTATTTTTGTTTGCTTTTGACATGTTAGAATTTGATACTGGTTTGCTTATAATACTTTAAGCAAAAAGAATTATATTTTAGAAAGTGACTTGTTAGCTTTTAAAATTTTCATAGAGGAGACAGACTTTTTGGTATAATTTCTAAATGGGAGAAGAAGATAGAATTTAGACTGGTCCACAAGCCAGGGCAGGAAAAGTGCTATACAGAGGTGCAAACTGATACAAAGGTTCAGAGGAGGGAGAGTTCACATTAATTTGAAAGATGGAGCAATGTTGTCAGACATAGAAAATATTATACAGGCCAGTAAAAATATATCTTTTTTCCTAACTACTTCAACTAACTTTTAAATCCCATTTTCTTTCCAATCTTTCCTTGCCATCTTTTATTTCTAGTTAAAAAAAAAAAAAAAAAGTCATGCATTGTCAGTTGTGAATAAAAGTCCAACTTGTTTAAATAAGTAACAGTCTGTACCTAATGTGGTTTAGTAAACTTGTGTTTACTTACACTTTGCAATTTTTTTGTTTGTTCATTAGAAACTGTCAGATTCTGAGCATCTACTTTGAGTGTTCAGAGAACTTTCTGTGGTGGAGGACTGAGGAACATTTTAATTTCTATCCTGTGAGATCACAGGACAACATTTCATGTGGATGTCCCTTTCCCCCCATACCTTTTAAAGTCTCCTTGAGGCATTCTAATGACTTTCATTAATAACAGCAATAGAAAAAAGGTTTCTTAACAATTTATGTAAGGGAAATAAGATTGTTTGTAATTGAAAAATAGCCACTTAAGATTATGGCTGTTCATGGTATTTACTTGTCCCTTGAGTGTCTCCTACCTGACTAGTTCAGAGAAAACCTCTTCCTTCTTTGGGTCACTACTTAGCACTCATTTTCTTTTCATTATACCAGTATTCCTTGCTCTTGCTGGAACCTCTGACATCAGATCATCTCTTTCTTACCTTGCTGCTTTGGAGTGGCATAAATGTATGTGTTCAGCTCCACATGCATGTAGTTACAAGTTATAGGAAATGGCTCTATTGAGATATAAATGTCTGGTATGCCTACTTAGAAATTTGAATGCCTTTTCTTATAGAATCATTATACATAATGATTATTTTATTACTTTTTAAAGTTCTTTAGATACATCATGTACTACTTCTGTAAGCTGGTTTAGGAATATATTTTCCATTAATAACATTGTTTTTATGTACCAGACCATTTAAATTGAGGATTACCTATACTTCTGTTGCCTTATCTTTTTTTAGTCCTCCTCCTCTCAAAATGTTCTCATCTATTGCCCATTTGGTTTGAAATTTACTGGCCTGGATTGGGACATATACATAATTGAAAGTTTATAATATTGTTCATTATATAATTATTATACATTTCTAATAGCCTATAGATGGCCTCATTTACATTTGTCACAGACTATTATGTGATAACTATATTTTTATGCTTCATACTTTCAACTTTATAGGAAATTATTGTTACTAAACAAATGAAAAAACTTTAGGCCTTTTGATGCCTTGGAATCAAAAAAGTGATAATTGTACTTTATAGATTTCTAAGGCAGTGGAGAACTTGATAGACACTCCCTTGACTGGATATAGATAGGTAGGAAGAAGGGCTAAGTGGTTTTTCATTTGCCATCAACAAAACCAGTGCTGAAAACGTTAAGCAGAAAAACAATTTATTAAAAAGATATCAGGGGAAAACACAGTAAATACAACTAATAGACACATTTACTAATTGTATATCAAGAGGAACTTGCTTCTGTGTGTTTAGCACTCCTTTTAAATAAGTAACAGTGAAAGAGAATATGAGTGAGAGAATACAGATGAGTTGGAGCAAACACATCACTGCCTTTCTTCGTGAACCTTCAGATAAAGAACATATTAAAGTACAAAAGGATATTGGATAGCTCAAAGGCTCTTTAAAAGGGCTAGTGAACATGTTTGGGAGGCAGGAATAAGGCCAGAAATTCTGTTGCAGAACTGGTCCTGTGAAGATACCACTCGGCAAAGAAACTACAACTTGCACTGTGAATGCCAGCAATGCCAGATACTGGATGTTTCCACCTGATCTGCTGTAGAGATGTGGGATAAGTCAGAGTTAGCCAGAAAAAGGGGGTCGATAAAACACATATATCCTGTGCTACTTTTGTGAAACTGGAAGATATTTTTGATTAGGAACAGAGGGAGTAAGGGATATGGGGGCGGGGAGATAGAAGGCCAATTAAAGGCGTTTGAAAAATTCTAGAAAAGAGATGGTAAGTAGCTAGGCTAGGGTAGTAACAGTGGGAAGTAAGAGATTTAAGTTTAGTGGAAAGAGTTGACAACACCTTTAACTTATTGAATTTGGGGACTTAGAATGGGGGTAATGGAGAAGGTGAAATGAAAGACACCAGGTTTCTGTTTTGGATAATTGGGCAGATGATAATATCATTCATTGAGAGGAAGAACAGATTTGGTAGGAGGATCTCCTGCATGGAGTTTATAGTGGTAGCCATGAGAGAGATTGTGCTGAAACAGATCCTAAGTTCTTTTGGTTAGTTATATGTTTAGAAATACTCAGAATAGGAGTTATATAACCAATTTATCCATCTTTTAAGAAAGGAATTTTAAAATATATTTTTTCCGGGTGGACTAATGTTAGCATGTTTTAAACTTTGGCGTCATTTGGGAATAACAGGTTAAATGTAGTTTTGTGTTTGTCAAACTCCATCTAAGTGTATGTAAAATGTTGAAAGTAGCACATATTTACAGCTCTTTTGCACTGCATTTCAATGTTGAATCTTTACCTTTTTTAATTTAACATGATTTTGTTATGTTAATATGCTGATGTTTAAATAAGCAACTCATTTCAGTCACAACTCCAAGTTATTGAGTCTTGAGGTTACTAGACTAGTGTTAAATTTTAAATCTTGTAGATTGTGCATTTAATTTCAAAACTATAAACTCAGCCCCAAGATGATTTATTTATTGTTAATTTGACATATGAGAATTACTGATTATTCTTCAGTTAAGTGTGAAAGGAATTCAAAATAAGTTAAAATCCCTTAGATGACTGTATTTAGATGTACATATATTTCTATTTCTTCTAAAATGTATATTTGGACAAAAATCCAGAACTTTGTTTTTAATGCAGATTTAAGGAGGTGGCTACGATTAACAGAAAATATTAATCTATGCTTTCTTTTCTTTTGTTTCAAACAGAAAAGCCTCCTAATAAAAGCAGTATGCGGATAGTAGTGGATTCAGAGTCAAGGAAAAGAACCATTGGTTCTGGGGAGCCTGGAGTTCCTACAAAGAAGACTTGGTTTGATAAGTAAGCTGGCAGGGGAAATTGAGGAATTTTATTATGCAGTGATCTTTAGGATCGTTGCAGTATTATTGTGACAGTATAGTGGTCTCTTTCAAAATAAAATTTATTCTGTAGGCAGTCCCCAACTAAAGTGTATAGTATTTGTTTTCTAAAAATATGTAAGTTAGTTGTCTGGTACTTGAAAGGTGCTTTCTTATAGAAATGGTGTGGTGGTTGAGCACATAATTTCTCCTATTTGTACCTCTCGCTACCTTCACAAAAAAAACAACAACCCACCCCTTAACTTAGCGATGTTGTTGATTACTAGCTGTTTAAAGGATAGTCATGAGCCTACTCTTAGGGAAGGAAGGAAGGGTTAGGTATGAGAGGAGGCTTTACATGTGGGCAGTTCCTGTTAGGAGTTAGAAAGCAGCCTTTGTGGGGGTAGGGGAGGCTGTGTGTTTGATGATTCATTTACAGATTTGCATGTTTGAGGAAAGACTGGGATCACACTTTTAGAGCTTTAACGTATGTTTAATAATGGATAATTTCTAGTTCTGTCTCTGCCTTTAATTCTGTGATTTAGGGCAAGCAATGTAACCTCCCTGGGCCACAGTTTTGACCCCCTTTCTTCAAGTGTCAAACGTATGGTCTACAATTCTGACTTTTTTTTAATTGGAAGGAGGTTGAGACAGTCATTTCTTGCTTTTAATCAATGTTTTGAAGTAGGAAATATCTCAATAAGTTAGCCTTTGCAGAAATGGCAAAGGTTATATAGGCAAATTGACTGAAAGAGGGTGCTAAGACCTTTCCTGCTAAGAATTTTAAGTAGGAGTGGAATAGAAGTGGAAAGGAACAAAGGATAAGGAAGAAACCTTCTCACTTGGCTTCCATGAAAGATAATGAACACTACTCATTTGGAAACTTCATTTTTTGAGGAAAAAAAATAAATTCCCTTTATCAACTAGCAATTTCAATTTGGAAAAAAAAATTGAACTTAAGTTGCAAAACTTTATTCCTTTGTACTTGATAGGGATCAGGATTTATAAATGAATGTATTAATTAACTTGATTTTTGTTACAGGCCAAATTTTAATAGAACAAACAGCCCAGGCTTCCAGAAAAAGGTTCAGTTTGGAAATGAAAATACCAAACTTGAACTTAGAAAAGTTCCTCCAGAATTAAATAATATCAGCAAACTTAATGAGCATTTTAGTCGATTTGGAACCTTGGTTAACTTACAGGTAAGAGCTTTGAAGTGATTCTTTTGTCTCTGCTTAATTATCTAGAGAGGGAATCTTAATATAGTAAGAAAAATAGTTTTATAAGAAAATATTATGGAAACTTTGGTAATATTCTAAGTTTAGAAAATTGGATATGAAGTGAAACTTTTTATTTTAGGAAAATGTGTGATTTTGAATAACCTATTTACTTTCAAAAGGCAGGAGACTTGATAGATCTTATTATACACTTTTTACCTAATAGAGATTATCATAAAATTACAGCAAAGTTAAATAACCACAGTGGTAAAATCTAATCTTACAGTAATTTTCATTTCCTTAGTTTCATATTAGCAGAATGCTTCAGTTAGATTTATTTTTGCTGCCCCTATGGTGGGACACATTTAATAGATATTTTGGGGGCCCAGATACCAGGTAATCCATAATCAGTTTAAACATTTACTTTTTTCTCTTCCACTTTTGAACATCTTTTAAGATAAATATCAGTGTAATTTGTATTTGATTTCCCCTAAAATTAGACCTTGGCTTAGGTCTGTGTTACTTGTGAGGTTATTTAGTATTGAGTTTACATTATGTAATATGTTGAAAGTTCAAATAATGTTGGGCTTCTTCTCCAGTTTGTGCAGCATTCTTTTGAACTAAATTATTTCCCGTAATCGGATAAAAATAAGAATAAATGTTGAGAGTACAACTTAAGTTGATTTTTGGAAAAATTTGTTTTCTTTCCATTTAAAAAATAATATTATAAAAGTAATAGATGAGGGACTTCCCTGGCGGTGCAGTGGTTAAGAATCCACCTGCCAATGCAGGGGACACGGGTTTGATCCCTGGTCCAGGAAGATCCCACATGCCGCGGAGCAACTAAGCCTGTGTGCCACAACTACTGAGCCTGTGCTCTAGACCCCATGAGCCACAACTACTGAGCCCACGTGCCTAGAGCCCATGCCCCGCAACAAGAGAAGCCACCGCAATGAGAAGCCTGCGCACTGCAACGAAGAGTAGCCCCCGCTCACCGCAGCTAGAGAAAGCCCTCAGGCAGCAAGGAAAACCCAATGCAGCCAAATCAGTCAGTCAGTCAATCCCTAAAATGAAAAGAAAGTTCAACAAAAAAGGGTGGGGCAGTAGAGATTTATATAGAATTTAAAGAAAATGTGTTCAGCTCTCTGTCTCTTCCATTCTTCTCATATATGCCCACAATATTATTACGTTATTGGTAACAATTTACCATGTGTTATTTTGGATTTTTTGTTTTGTATTTCTGTGAGTTATGTATCTACCTATAAATCAGTATGCAAACTTAAAAATATGTACATATTTAAAAGTATGTGGGTCTCTAGTGTACAGATTACCCTGTAGTTATTTACTGCATCTTGAATATCTCTAAATATCTTTTTATGGCAATTTGATTTATCTACCACGTTTAGATCTAGACTTTAAAAAGTTCTTTTCCTTACACAGTTAACTACATTAGTAATATTAAATTTAAAGAAGTTTAAAGCTGAGGGTTAAAACATGGTATCTCACTATTGTTTCAACTTGTATTTCCTCAGTTACTGGTGAGATTGGTATCTTATCTCTGTACAGGTCCTACTGCTGTATCTGTATACTACCTGCATTATTATTTATAAAATACATATATTTGAAAGTTAGTTTAAAGAAACCCTTTAGCTTTACCCTAATATAACTGCCCCCCCGCCCCCATTTTACATGAATTACTATTTAATTCTTAACAACTACTGAGCGGGTATTGTTATCTGGAGCGAGGTTGCTTGATTCAGGGTCTGTGTGCTTAATCCCTATTTTGCATTGCTTTGCATCACCAGTAGTTTATATAACATACTTTGGAAAGTACTGGTATTATTGAAAGAACAGGAAATTGAACACTAAAAAGCCCTGGATCTACTACTTACTCGTTGTATGGATCTACAGAATCACATACTCTTTGAATCTTAGTTTCCTTATGTGTAAAATGTGATTGTTGCTATTGTTTTGTAGATCTTACTCCCCTTGCCCACCTTAAATTTTCTTATGCTCTTGGAAATATTTTTGTGAGGGTTACCAATTTGGAAAATTTTACAGATGGATTTTTCTGTGATTTTCAATTAAAGATCACTCCTTTCAAAGTAGTTTACTGCCTTTTTCTGACTCTGGGGATCTAAGTCATGTCACTCAGTGACATAAGGATTATTTCTTATAACCTTAATATTGGGGGTAAAAAGTGAAACATTCTAATGCTTATATTTAACATTTGTGCAGTGAGCATTCTGTACTAAGTCTTATATAGAGGAGGCTCTGATTCCACTCTGAACGGTCCTCAGTTACCATTTCTTCTGGAGTGAAAGTAGGCTACGGTAATAATCTAGATATAAGGAAGTGTAAAGATAGACTCTTACTTGGAGGACCAATATTTCATTTCTTGGGGAATTTTACTGTATAAAGCAATAGATTCATTTGCAAATTCACTGTGCTTAATATTTTAAATCTTAGGTTGCCTATAATGGTGATCCTGAAGGTGCCCTTATCCAATTTGCAACATATGAAGAAGCAAAGAAAGCAATATCAAGTACAGAAGCAGTGTTAAATAATCGCTTTATTAAGGTTTATTGGCACAGAGAAGGAAGCACCCAGCAATTACAAACTACTTCTCCAAAAGTAAGAGAGAAATTTGTGTGAAATTAAATGCTTTTCTTGGAACGCTCTTGGCACAGTGGTTTTTTTTGTTTTGTTTTTGTTTTTGTTCTTTTGTTTTTTTGCGGTACGCGGGCCTCTCACTGTTGTGGCCTCTCCCGCTGCGGAGCACAGGCTCCAGACGCGCAGGCTCAGCGGCCATGGCTCACGGGTCCAGCTGCTCCGCGGCATGTGGGATCCTCCCGGACCGGGGCACGAACCCGTGTCCTCTGCATCGGCAGGTGGACTCTCAACCACTGCACCTCCAGGGAAGCCCTTGGCACAGTGTTTTTTAAAAGCAACTTCTCTAACCTGTTCTCTCATTTTATTATGAAATTAATCCCTAGTTTAGATAATTATAAGATGATATGTGTAAAGCCTATAGAACAGTCCCTGTTACGTGGGAGATAGTCCAGTACATGGTAGCTGTGTGTATTCTAGAAACTCAGACTGTGGGTTCATATTGGAAATCCTTCCTTCCCTCTGTTTTTCTCTCTTTCAATCAGTGAGTCAATGAATATGTAAAGTTTAATTGTTTGCAGAGGTGTACTACAGCAGTTTGTTTTTCTGTTTATCTTCTGTTAACTAAAAAAAGAGAAGATAGTGAAGGTCAGATTTTGATTTTTTCCTCTACTTTATAAATATTTTATGCATCTATATACATGCATGAAGGAATTTGGGAGGTGGTTAGGTTTTGATTATAAGCTGCACTTTTAAAACTTTCTCTGCATGGGCAACGTAGTAACAAAATAACAAAGGTTACCTTCCATGCTCATGAACTAATCAACTTGTTTAACATGTTTTTTTTGTTCTGAGGTAATGCAGCCTTTAGTCCAGCAGCCCATTTTGCCTGTTGTGAAGCAGTCAGTCAAAGAGCGGTTGGGTCCGGTACCTTCAAGTACTGTTGAACCAGTGGAAGCCCAGAGTGCCAGTTCAGAACTTCCTCAGGTAAATGAAAAGTCTAACTGTGCCTGTCATGTAATAGGTTCTCAATTAGTTTCCCTTGGTGATCTGAATTATAATTAATTGAGTGTGTGTCTGTGTCTGTGTGTGTGTGTATATATATATATATGTTTTATGCAGAAATATGATGGTCTATTTGTATTTGAACACCACTTGTAAAATTTTTTTTTTTACCATTACCATAACGTTTTCAGTCTACTTTTCCTATAGTATTTGAATCTTAAATTCTTTCCTGTAGCTAATACTTATTTATGAGAATAAATACTTTTTCACTTTGTAGAGGAGACATTTTCCAGCAAAACTGTCTAAAATGTAAAGTTTTAGTACATTAAATCTTACTTTTCCCATCATCTTTTACTTAACTAGAATGCTGTTCCAGAGATAATTATGTAGTAGACTGAACTGAAAGCTTTTGGGAAGGGAAGGCTTAAACCTTGAAGTTACTTATGCAGCTCTCTCAGAACTTTACATCACTTATTCCTGACTCTCAAATTCTCTTCTCCATATGCCATTCCCTTCCCTCCCTTCCACACTCGAGTGACACTTTCTTGTTTCTGCACCCTCAGTCTCTTATGTTTCAATATTTGCTGTGTGAAATAGTTAGGATGTCGTATCCTACTTAGCTAATGGATGCCACCTTGTTAAAATAAGTCTTTGTAGATAATTCCTGAAGAGTAAGATATTGAGATTTTATAAAAACATGCAGAATGTAAATTAGTAAATTATTAGGTACTAAAAAAAAAAAACCCTCTCCAATCCTGCTATCCCAAATCATCATCAAATACAGTGTATTTGGCTATAAAACAAACATACTTTAGGATAGAATGGCGTTTGTTTTAAGCTCACAAAGCAGGCACGTATTTTAACTACTCAGATCTAATATTTAGAATGTACAAACTTTCTACTTGTCAACATAGGATTCTAAGAATGTATGGTTCTGTATCACTGGAGGGGACTTTAGCAACCACCTCATTCAAACCTCTTATTTTACATCATAATTTTCCATGATTGAGTAATACTGTATACTGTTTGTTTTTCCAAATATTTTCTTTCTATCTCTGTCTTTACAGAAGGCCCAAGGTTTTGTTATTAACATCAGTATACTTACAGAGTCAGTATATGTTAGTAGAATCAGAATGTTCAAAATCCCTACAGACTTATATATGTTTGGGGAAACACTGAATATGTCCATTTTAATTTTTTTAGAATGTAACTAAGTTATCTGTGAAGGACAGGTTGGGTTTTGTATCAAAGCCATCTGTTTCAGCAACTGAAAAGGTAAGAAGAATAGCATGATGTGTGTGTCTTGGCTTCATAAATGTTTTCAGGTGGCATCTTAATTTTTTAATTTTTTTCATAGTTCCAAACTCTTGCTTCTTAATTGTATCTTTTATTCCTACCTTTTTGCTTTCCATTTGCTGAAAAAGAAAAATATTTGCCTACCTCTTTTTGCTTTTTGCATCAGCATTTTAATACTTGCTGCTCACTGTATTTCCTTATGCTCCATTCCTTTTGTTTTTAGTTTTTATTTACTATTTTTTCTTTAGAGATATCATACATTTTAATTTGAAAACTCTGACAACCTTATAGAGAGGGCCATGAATTAGGAATTTTACCTGAGTTTGAGCTCTGGCTCTTCACTTACTAACTGCATGACTTTGGGCAGTGCTCTTAACCTTTCTGAACCCTTTTCCTCATCAGTAAAATGGTGATGGTAATATTTGTCTTACGGGGTTTTATGATGATTAAATAAAATCAATTATTTAAAGAGTATTTTGTAAATTAGAAAGAATGATGTAAATAAGTTTTTTATTTATTACAAACAGCTATTGTGTATAGCCTGACAATATAGTTAGTCATTTCTTTTTTTAAATGAGGGGAGCAAATGCTGATTAAATTGAGAACATTTTTGGACCTGTCTTATAGTTCTGTGTAGATGTGTTATTTTTTTCTGTTTAGGTATGAGTGAATGGCCCCGATCTTTAGTCTTTTTTGAGGTATGTCGAATCACAGAATATTAGAATTAGATAATCTTTCTCATTTCTTTATCCTCACCTTAAGGAAGTAGTTTTATGATTGACCTATACACTATGAGTTACTGAGCTAGGACTGGAATCTGGGTCTTTGATTTCTTTCTAGTCCATGGCTCCTTCCATTATGAAGATTACGTGGGAAATTGACATTATAGTTAATTAGAGCATCCCATGAAATAGCTGACCTGCTCTCTTCACTGGTTCTTCAGTATATTATTTTCCTATTTACTGTGTTAAACTTTGGCAATTCTAGAAATTTGAGTATGAATCTCATTTTGTATATCACATTTTCTTCTTGGGCACCTCAGCATTACTTTAAAGTGATTCATTATTTCCCCTATAAATTAGTTTCTCCTCCTAGCCACCCACTTCTGGAAGTGATGCCACCATTTTCCTTGTTGTGCAGTCCAGAAGCCTTAGAGTCATTCACTTGTGTTTGTAGTCCAGTTGTCTCCTTCAGTTCCCTGGCCTCTGGACTGGCGTCCCCCTCTTCTAGTTTACACTGCCACCATTCTACTCTCAGACTTATTTTAATGTTAACTTCGTACAGAAACTTTCATTTCCTCAGCTAAATTTGCTTGATTCATAACTCATCATACCTCAATTATTGTGGTTCTGTTACCTCTGCTTTAGTTGTTCCTTTCTACCCTAATGAGCCCTTTTCTGTTCATTGTCTCTTGCTATTTCCTGCCTCTTTTCTTTTTTTTGATGGTGGTTTTTCTGGAGTAATTTCCTTCTGCCTAACAGATTTCTAGTCATTCTTTCAAAGATTGAAAATCTCTCTAACCTCTACTATGAAACCTCCAGAGTTTTCCATATATGCCCCCCTCCCGAATTTGTGTGGTTTAGTCTATGCCACTAAGTTTAGCAGCATCTAAATATTTACTTTGATTATTTTTATCCTCCTTGATAATACGTAACTAAGGAATAAAGTAACAATATAAGGGCTGATACACTTAGTATAGTGCTGAGCAATTCTGGTGAGGTCTACAACCCTGATTATGTTTAGGATCTGTTTATGTCAAGGTTTGGATTCTGAAATTGAAGTGTACTAATTATAGCTTTTACAAAACTTTTCTAGCGTGTTTTGCTACTTGTTCTCAGTATTGTTTTTTAACATGTTTTGTATCACTTTAGATGAAAGGTGTCCACATTTGGAATTGATAGTATAAATTTGCTAATATAGTTAGCATTAAGTATATTTGTGAAAAATCACTAGTGGTAGTGGGCTATTTATGAAAAAAAAACTACTCAGTAAATATTGTAAAGAATCTTCTAAGGAAAGAAATTATTTACAAGTATGTAACTTCCTGTCATCTTCAGTGAACCTGTTTACAGAATAGCATTTTGTTTTTGCTTATTCTTGGTTATTTCTGTTCCCCTAGTCCATAGGGGTTTTTACTGCATAATCCTTAGAGCTCAGTGATTCAGAGAAGCCTTAGGAAGAGTAGGAGAATGTTCCCCATCATCAAATGTTATTTCAATTTTTTTTTAAATTGAAGGCTGGGAAAAACTCAAACCTTGCATCCAAACAATATCTTTTGTCATTGTTTTTGCGGTATGCAGGCCTCTCACTGTTGTGGCCTCTCCCATTGCGGAGCACAGGCTCCGGACGCGCAGGCTCAGCGGCCATGGCTCACGGGCCCAGCCGCTCTGCGAACTGGGGCGCGAACCCGTGTCCCCTGCATTGGCAGGCGGACTCTCAACCACTGTGCCACCGGGAAAGCCCTTTTGTCATTGTTAAAGCAAACAAGTACACAAATGTAAAATTTTATCCCCTTCCTGTAAATAGCACCCACTAAACTCTCTAGTGATTCTTTGTTATTCTAAGGTTGCATGTGAGAGGGCTAAGAAAGAGGAAACTTAAAACCTAATTTTTACCGCTAAATATTAAGATACTGTAATAGCTATTAAATAGGTATTGTTGAGTAGAGTGATCAGTAAAATGATCTTTGAGTGCCTCAGCTTACTCTAGAGAGATTTATGAAGAATAAAGGTGGCCTCTGCATATACCATCCTGGTTAGTTTTTTATTTTATTTTATTTATTTATTTTTTTAATATTTATTTATTTATTTTTAGCTGTGTTGGGTCTTCATTTCTGTGTGAGGGCTTTCTCTGGTTGCGGCAAGCAGGGGCCACTCTTCATCGTGGTGCGCGGGCCTCTCACTATCGCGGCCTCTCTTGTTGTGGAGCACAGGCTCCAGACGCGCAGGCTCAGTAGTTGTGGCTCACGGGCCTAGTTGCTCTGCGGCATGTGGGATCCTCCCAGACCAGGGCTCGAACCCCTGTCCCTTGCATCGGCAGGCAGATTCTCAACCACTGCGCCACCAGGGAAGCCCCAGTTTTTTCTTTTTAAATAAAAAATTTTTTAAATAAATTTATTTATGTATTTATTTTCGGCTGCATTGGGTCTTTCTTGCTGCATGCGGGCTTTCTCTAGTTGTGGCCAGCGGGGGCTACTCTTCATTGAGGTGCACGAGTGGCTTCTCTTGTTGTGGAGCATGGGCTTTAGTCACACAGGCTTCAGTAGTTGTGGCATGCAAGCTCAATAGTTGTGACTTGCAGGCTCTAGAGCACAGGCTCAGAGTAGTTGCGGCACACGGGCTTAGTTGCTCTGCAGCATGTGGGATCTTCCCAGACCAGGGATCGAACCCGTGTCCCCTGCATTGGCAGGCAGATTCTTAACCACTGCACCACCAGGGAAGTCCATCCTGGTTAGTTTTTTAAAAAAGATTTAGACTGTCCAAATTATCCCCGTAAAGCTCTTCTAAATTCTAAGAAGGTAAACTGACTAATCAGTTGAATATTTAATGTTCTTATATCAGTTTTAGGTATATCAGACTTATGGTACAGGATGTTATTGTTCCTCAACAGGGCTTTTTTTTGGTAATCTAAAAATATATCCTGGTCCCTTTGCATGATGATAAGCTGACATCTGTACCATGGAACTTTTAAAAGGGAAATTGTGTGGCATAATTGAAGGAACATTGCATGTCATATAGAGAATTTGGCTGTTAGGATTTAGCAGCTGACATTCTGGATGATCCTGGATAAGTCTTACTCTCTGTTTCCTTAACGATAAAATACAGTCATTTAGGTAACCCTTTGATTTTTAAAATTTGTATTTGTTGTGTAATTTTGCTATTTTATTATAAAGATTAAGGAAATGTATGATCATTTCTTTTCATAACTGTTACTGACTAATTTTAATTTTAAAAAATGGATTGGCCTCTGTCAGGATTATTCTGTGGATTACTCAGTATTATTACCAGGATTATTTTTCTTACAGAGAAATATGATTTATATAAAATTATTTGCTATGCTGAATTTTCTGGGAACTGAGCTGTTGTAGCAAAAATTGATTACTGACTTAAACATTTTTTTCTTTGATATTAAAAATATTTCTCTGCAAGATCTTCAATCCCTTTGTCTCTTTTAAGCTACTTGGTATTCTTGTAAGAAATAAAATCGTTAATTCCTGAAAATATTTGATAAACTTAATTTTAAAGTAAACTCCTGTTGTCCTCACTAGAATTCCCAGTTAAGTTTTGCTACAGAAAACACATCTGTATGCTGCTTTAAGGGAATGTCATAAGTGAACATTTGAGATTTATTGAAAGGTTGATTATTTACTTAATATAAAAGTTGACTGTATGGTAATTATATATTAATAAGTTTCCTACACATAACTCCTCAGAATACTGTCTTTTTTTTTTTTTTTTGTGGTGGGGGAGCCTCTCACTGTTGTGGCCTCTCCCGTGGCGGAGCACAGGCTCCGGACGCACAGGCTCAGAGGCCATGGCTCATGGGCCTAGCCACTCCGCGGCATGTGGGATCTTCCCGGACTGGGGCACGAACCCGCGTCCCGAACCCGTGTCCCCAGCATCGGCAGACAGACTCTCAACCACTGCGCCACCAGGGAAGCCAGAATACTGTCTTTTTATTGCATTCAAGCAAGGCACTTCTGCTTTAGACACCTGTGAGAACTAGCTTATTGGGAGTGTTGCTTTGGGTCATCCTAACTATGTTTCTTTTGTATATGATTTTAACTTGGGCACTGGTTATTAAAAAATGATACTTGGATGACTTAATTTGTAATAACCTTCTTTTGCAGTAGGTAATTTTTACAAAATACTTTTTTTATTCCGTTTTTATCCATGAGAAAAATCTATTTTTCTTTTTTTTACAAGTACTAATAATAGTCATGGCTTGTAATATTTTATATAGGAAGTAAGATAAGGAGGTGTTAATGGATTATAACCTCTATTTTATTGGAGAATTGGCTTTTATCTTGGGAAGTAAGAGGTGTTAGTGATGTATATTTTAACAACAAAGCGTGTGATACTTTTCAGCTCATCTTGTGAATTGAAGAGAGCTTTGATACCCGACCTGACAAGTGTACTACAAGAAATGAAAATTACAAGCCAATATCTCATGAACATAAATGCAAAAATCCTAAGTAAAATGTTAGCAAATGTACAGTGATATGAGAAAGATAATACATCCTGACCAGGTAGAGTTTATTCCGGAAATGCAAGGTTGATTTAACATTTGAAAATCATTTATTTCACCATATTAACAAAATAAAGGCTTGGGAGGAGGGATGTGGTAGATGTTGGAGGGAGGGAGAAGGACCCCATGTGATTATCTCGGTAGAAAAAAAATGTGATAAAATTATTTAGTCACATTAAACATTCTGCAAGCTAGGAATAGAAAGAAACTTCCTTAATTTTGACAAAGTATATTTGCAAAATAACAGACCCCTACAGTTAACATATTCAATGGTGAAATATTGAATACTTTCCCCCGAGATCAGGAACAGCAAAGGATGTCCACTCTCGTCACTTTTTTCCAGTAGTATAGGGCCTAACCACTACAATAAGGAAATGAAATAAAATAAATGGCATAAACGTTGGAAAGGGAGAAACAGAACTGTGTTTACTCACAGATGATATATATGTAGAAAATCCAAAAGAATTCACAGGCGATTGGAATTAATAAGTGAATACAATAAGGTCACTGGAAATAAGGTCAATATGTAAAAATACAGCACATGCAGAAACCATTTTGAAAATAGAGGTGTGGTTGTTTAGAAAGACCACTGTTTTTATTATATCCTTAGAATTGTAGCATCATCTTTTCTGTTGGGTTCGTTACTTCCCGCCACTGGTTTCATTTTTAATAGATTTTCTTCTCTTTTGTGACAACTCTATCCTCATCTTTCAAAAAATACAGATATTTCTTGTTACTCAAACTCTTACTGTCTAAACTCTGCAACCTAATAGATTCAGATAGTGAGCAATATTTGTAATCATATAGTTCACTGTTTCTAAGACATTTTATTTTCACATTTTTACACCTCTGAAATTGGGCTACATCTTATAGTTGTTGGTATTTATGATTATAATTGGCAGCCTTTTCCTTTAGTAGGGTTATATTAAATTACAGTGTGTCTCCTAGGCAGTGGTATCTTAAGCTCAGTGAAATATATTAGCTGATGTTCTGTTTTTACAGAAGGAAGTTCCTGGAAAAAACAAGGAAATGAGATGCTTGTAGCAATAAAGGAGTCTTCTTACTGTTATCATATACTTTTTTTTTTTTATTTTTGCGGTATGTGGGCCTCTCACCACCGCGGCCCTTCCCGTTGCGGAGCACAGGCTCCGGACGCACAGGCCCAGTGGCCATGGCTCACGGGCCTAGCCACCCCACAGCACGTGGGATCTTCCCGGACTGGGGCACGAACCCGTGTCCCCTGCATCGGCAGGCGGACTCTCAACCACTGCGCCACCAGGGAAGCCCTATCATGTACTTTTATTCACCTTGCAACAGCAATCCTTGGTGTGATATCTGGTATTAATAACAGTACTTGGAAAGGGAGTGTTCCCTACTCACTGAAATTGGAGAAATGCTGAATTAAACAAATTATATGGGTTTCTTTACTTCTGGCTTTCTCACAGCTCTTACAATAATATACATTTTGAAACTAGAAAGTAGGGTTATGATATTGTTTCCAACTTTGAGTATAGAAATCCTTTTTTGGTCACAACTTCAACTTGTTATGGAACCATCATGACAAAAACAGTTTATAAGCAGTCTCTTTCTTCTGCAGATTATCTTGTGTTTCTCCCTTTATAAAGTTATTATCTCACCCTGTATAATCATACAGATTGACATTGTATGGTGTGGTAAGGTAGCATGGAATAACTTTTCCTCTAGAATTACAGAGAATGTGACAAGTTAGAACTAAATCTGTGTCTACTTTATATTTTACTGAATGCAACCATTTCATACTTGTTAGTGATATCTTAAGTATTTTCATTATTGAAGAAAATTATCAAAGTTTGATACACATCAACTGTTGTAAAGAACCTTTATTTTTAAACATCAGCTGTGCTATATGGAACTAGTGTAATTATAGTATTCTAGGTTTTTATTTCATTTAGAGGCTAAGACATTCTTGGATACTTAGAATAGCGATGAGTTGCCTAAGCTTTGTGATGTTCCCTAATCTAATTTCATGATAAAAGATTAGAAAGTAGTGTCCAGATTGCTACTTCTCTGATATACCCAGTTATTTACATTTTAGTAGTGAGAAAGTAGGGCTCTTTTTCTCATTGATACTCTTCTATTTATGTAGTTCTTCTAACCTCTTTTAGGTCATGAACTCCTTTAAGACTTTGGAAACTATGTTTTTTCCTCTGGGAAGTTACACTCTTCACACACATGGTTTCATGTTTAGATTTTATAGCATTCATAGCTCTCTTTGAAGGGATCTCTAAACTCCTTTCCAAGAACCAGTAACCAACCACTCTTTGGAACCTACAACTTTATGCTTTCGTAGGATAAAAAAGGCAGCCTATATACACTTTAATTTTCTTAAATTGACCTTTGTGTGGAAAAGATTATCCACTCTGATCTACCATCATTTCATTTTAACTTGGTGCAAAAGTGTTTATTGAGTATTTGCTGTGTGCCCCGGTGCTGTTCTAGGCACTGAAGATAAAGCAGTGAAACAAGCAAAAAAAATCCCTACCCTCATGGAATGAATTTTTGGGTTTGTGAGGACATTAGGCACCATCAGGTTGAACTTCTTATTTAATGAGCAAACTGAGGCCCAAGAAGGTACCTGAATTTACCCATTGTCTCATAATTAGTTGGTAGTAAGGTTTAGGTACTAGAAGAAGCACAAAGAGGAGAAAGACATGTTTTTTTTGTTTCAGGGCTCTTACAATGAAGATAGCGAGAGAGATATAAAAGAAATTAATATGTCATCCGGTCATTTTTACTAAATATTTTAATAGGAATAATATTTCATGGAAGGACCTAGGTAGAAGAAATAAATGATTAGAGCTTTGTGGAGGTCTGGAGTGGTTGTGCTGAACCTGAGCTGAGTTTAAGGGAATAAGGTCACTTAAAGTAGGAGCAGTGCTAGCAAAGGAATGGAGAGAGAAAGCAATAAGGTTAATTTCAGAAATGTAAATTACAAATGATCATTTTAAATTATTTGCAGGACAGTGTCTGATTTCCTCCTGTGCTGTGTTCTTGTGTACAGTTTTTGCTTTAGTCACTAGGAATACTAGTAATGTATTCAACAACTAATATTTTCTCAGTGATACAGTAATGGCAGTGTGTTTTTCATTGATTTGAAGTTTTTGTATGTTTGCTTTTTGCTTTTCTTCTAAAGGTATATGGTGTTAATTAAAAAAATTTTCACTTTATAGTTTATCCCTCACTCATACCCTTTCTTTCAAATCACTAATGTGACTTAGTTATTACAAATATATAATACTTTTAGTTCAGTGTGCTAGATTTTTTTTTTTTTTTTTTGCGGTACGCGGGCCTCTCACTGCTGTGGCCTCTCCCGCTGCGGAGCACAGGCTCCGGACGCGCAGGCCCAGCGGCCATGGCCCACGGGCCCAGCCGCTCCGCGGCTTGTGGGATCCTCCCGGACCGGGGCACGAACCCGTGTCCCCTGCATCAGCAGGCGGACTCCCAACCACTGCGCCACCAGGGAAGCCCCAGTGTGCTAGATTTTGACAGGAGTGCTTTAGAGTTTTGAAGGAAATAGTACTCAGGAAATCATGAATGCTTGATACATTTTTTGAGAAATTGAATTTGTATTGGTAGGTGTTGTCTACATCTACTGGCCTAACAAAAACGGTGTATAATCCAGCTGCTTTGAAGGCTGCACAAAAAACCTTACTTGTTTCCACCTCTGCAGTTGATAATAATGAAGCACAGAAAAAGAAACAGGTAAGTATAGTAGTGTACAGAATTTGCAGGTCGGGAAGCTTTTCTGCATGTATGTGTTTTTTCAGTGCTTATCATAAAATAGAGCCAAAAGAAAGGTATATGTTGGCTGCCACTGAACTTTTATTTTCCCTAGTATATTAGTAAATATTAATTTTCGTCTTGGAATGAAAGGCTCTCCTGATTGATTTTTGAAACTTGTGTACTTATTTAAGCTTTACATAGGAAAACTTTGCATTTCATTTTTGTTGCCAAGCTTCTTCAGTTACAACCAGTTCTGTCTTCTTGGGTAATTCCATTTATCGGAAAGGTGCATGGTAAATATTCTAATAATATTTTTGATCCCTTCTCTAGGAGGCACTGAAACTTCAGCAGGATGTAAGGAAGAGAAAACAAGAAATTTTAGAAAAGCACATTGAAACACAGAAGGTAAAATATTAAAGTTAGATTTGGCAAAATATATTTATAAGTATCATAATTTTTAGTGAATTTAATCTTACACTCTATAGATAGTCCTGAGAAACATATTTACTGTAATTGATAATGGTAAAACTGAAATATTTATCAATAATAATGTATATATTAATTGATAAAATGTTGGTGATGAAGTGTATTACATTGTGTAATATACATTGCACAGTGGACTGGGAAATGGATTAGTTTAAATGGAGCTATGACTATCAACTTGAAATGAAAATAAGGAATATTTATCCAGGTATGTTGCTGCACAGTAGTTCAATAGATAGTAAATGGAACCTTTTTCTCATTGTTGACATATGTACCTTTCTTTAATTGGCTTGTGATCCTCTAGTCCTATGTTGTCTGGTACAGCAGCTAAGAGCCACATCTGACTATCAGGTACTTGAAATGTGTCTAATCCAAATTGAGATGTGCTGTAAGTGTAAAATACATAACCAGATTTCAAGCACGTAGTATGAAGAAAAATGGTAAAACATCCCAGTAATTTTTGTTGAAATGTTACTTTTGATAAAATGAGTTAAATAGAATATGTATTTAATTAACTTTAATGTATCTCTTTTATCTTTGTAAGGTTGCTGCTAGAAAATTAAAAATTATGTGGCTTGCAGTATTTCTTTTGTACAGTGTTGCTCTAGTTATGGCATTTAATTAGTGTCAGTTCTTGATTATGTCTGGTAATAAAAGTTATGACACTTGAAAATATTGAAAATACACAAACTTTTTACCTTTTGGTTTAAAATGTATATCTTTTCTAATTTAAATTTGTATGTACTTGATAAAGAGACATCACAATGCTTTACACCCAAAACTGAAACCATCTTGACTCAGAGAACCTATAATACTTTGTGATGTCTTCTCCATATTACCATGTTTATCTTCCTACTTCCTATCTGTGTTGGGCATATTGTTCTCAGCCTAGCCAGTTACTGTTCCCTCTGACAAAGCAAGTAGGTAACTAAATATGCTATTTTTCTAATATCTCATATGGAGGGAAACCGTAAAACGTTTCCTCTGATTCTTTCTGGGTTACGGACTATGTTTGGAGTGGGAATACTTAGGATCAGTAATATCAGCAAGTGGATTAGAGAGTAAGATTGTTGATATTTCAAAATGACAGCTTTTCAGAGGTTGAATTAAATTTCTTGTGGTTGTATGCTTTAAACTTATCTTCTAAGAGACTTAAGTAGTAATACAGTTCTTCACAACGTAAACCAAGATTAAGACTTGAATTGAGATAGTTAGCATCACCAATCTGCTATTCTGCTATCTCAGTGATTGTGAGCCTTGTCATGAATACATAAACTAAAAGTAGCAGTTATTTATATTTACTTTGCCATGTTTGCTTTTTAAATAATAGTAGGAATGTGTCATATATTTGTTTTTAAAAATTTGCCAGATGTTAATTTCAAAACTGGAGAAAAACAAAGCAATGAAGTCTGAAGATAAAGCAGAAATAATGAAAACTTTAGAGATTTTGACAAAAAATATTACCAAGTTGAAAGATGAGGTCAAAGCTGCTTCTCCTGGACGCTGTCTTCCAAAAAGTATAAAAACCAAGACTCAGGTATTTCAGTTTGTATTGTTATTCATATTACTACTTGTTAAGAAAACATTAAAGCACTACATTATTTAAGATTCAGTTTTCCTTTAGCTAATATTCTTTGCTCAAAATTTGATCATTATATACTGCCATTCTTCTCCTTCTCTAGTAATTAATAAGTAAATAAACACAAACAAGCAAACTCTACTCATCTTTTGAACCCTGCACATTGTAGTTAGAAAGTCAGTTGTAGTTAGAAAGTCAGTAATTAGACAAATAGTTATGGATAATCTTGAAAAGGTAGCTAGAGGACAAAACGATATAGGTACTGGAATGCTTGACTGAGGAGTTTGAGATTTCTTTTGTAAGTAATTGGTGGTATAAAATATTAATGAACAGAGAAGTACCAATCTGATGTCACTGTACAGAATGAATGATATTTTCTTTTAATTTATTTATTTTTATTTTTTGGCTGCATTGGGTCTTCATTGCCGCACACGGGCTTTCTCTAGTTGCGGCGAGTGGGAGATACTCTTCGTTGTGGTGCACGGGCTTCTCGTTGCAGTGGCCTCTCTTGTTGCAGAGCACGGGCTCTAGGTGTGCAGGCTTCAGTAGTTGTGGCACGCGGGCTCAGTAGTTGTGGCTCGTGGGCTTTAGAGCACAGGCTCAGTAGTTGTGGCACATGGGCTTCATTGCTATGCGTCATGTGGGATCTTCCCGGACCATGTCCCGAACCCATGTCCCCTGCATTGGCAGGCAGATTCTTTAACCACTGTGCCACCAGTGAAGTCTCCAGAATGAATGATTGAAAGAGAGAAAATTCAGGTAGATTAACTGATTAGATACAAAACAGTGAGCAAGTTAATTTCAGATGACAATAAGTGATTTAAAAAAAACCCCATGGAGTCATACAATACTTATACTTAGTGTGTGTGTATGTGTGTATTTGTTGTGTGTGTGTATGTATATATGTGTGTGTGTATATGTATATATATATAAAATCATGAGTTTATATTGATATTTCTCATTCTAATCTAATACCACAGGGTTCTTCTTTTCTTTCTCTTATGCCATATCTCCCTGTTCCCATGATAACAACTTGGTTCCCACTAACATCAATACAGTATACGTTTGTACAGTCCTGTAATCCATTCGAATAGTTCCAGAATTGCTAAAACAATACCACTTCCAACAACTAACTAAATATAAAATTAAGAATTTGTTTGCATTCTTTACAACCTCATAATATACTCCACTAAGAGTATAGAGTCAGACCCGTGGTGTAGGATCATGTGTTTTTCCGTTCATGTGGTTATGTTATTAATATGATAAAGTTAGGTTTATTTCTGTCTGTATTCAGTTTTGGATTGCTCTCCCTGTCATTCTTGCTGATTTAATTTTATTTTTTGAATAAGTAAAACATTAACATGATTCAAAAGTTATACTATATAAAAAGGTTTATATAAACGACCATTCCCCTTTGAGCCCTGACACTCTGTTCCCCACTCTTCCCTCCCTCTTGGTGTGTGTGTATGTATTCTTTCTTACGTAAAAGCATACTGTATATTCCTCATTAACACCTTGGTGTTTTGTTTTTCTTTTATTTCCTGAAAATTACTCCATATCAGTCCGTAGAAATCTCACTCTGGCTTCTGTATGGAAAATGAATTATAGGGAAATCAGTGGAAGTGGGAACAAGTTAGAAAGCTGTTGCAGTAGTGTAGACCAGAGGTGACTGGTGGCTTGAACTAGGATGGTAGGACTGGAGATAGAGAAGAAATGTATGGATTAAATGAGAATGTGTAAAAAATTCTTTGTAAAAAGTTTTGTATAAATGCAGGATATTAATTGTCATCACCTAAAATATTTATTACTATTTTCTAGATGCAGAAAGAATTACTTGACACAGAACTGGATTTATATAAGAAGATGCAAGCTGGAGAAGAAGTCACTGAACTTAGGAGAAAATATACCGAATTACAGCTGGAGGTATGTTTCATGATAGCCACACAGTACGCTAAAGAGGAGTAGTTACAGTCTTGATGGTTTATTTGAAAATATATTCCTCTCATTCTGGTCAACAGTCGTTGGCAGTCTCTGGCAAACATATTGGGAGTTGATGTATAAAAGAGGGAAGAGGTTAGCAAATCTTTCAGAGCTAATAGAAAATCTCTTAGTATTTAATGAGGGGTGATAGCCATTCTACTTTTATACACAAGTCCCTCTAATTCTAGTGAATTTTGTTCCTTTTCTATTTCTGGTTTGTTTTTCTTCCTAGGACCAAAATCTATTAAAGGTTTTCCTTTATTCTTAGGGAGATATTCTGTGCATATATAGGCTGTTACGTTGAGTTCCTATAAGGATCAGACTTTTAGTGGTAGAATTATATTGAAGAACATGCTTACTTAAGTTTTACCTATAGATGGTGCTGTGGATGTTAAAGAGAAAAAAACTAACTTCTTATAATTTAGTTATATGATTATTTATGTAAGAAAAATCTAGTAAAATTGATCTCTATACATGAGAATTTTTAACATTTAGCAAAAAGATGTTTAAGAATCAGAATTACATTTTGAAGTACAGGGACATTTATGTCATTAGTGTAGTTGGTACTTGTCTATATTTATCGTTGCCACAATTTAATTTTTTGTATTTTAGCTTATTCCTTTTGCTTAATCTGAAAATAATGCTTTTTTTCCAAATTCGTTAGCAACTTGATTTTCTTTTTCCAACATAGTAGAAATCTGTATTGAGTACTGGTATCCAGCTATTAAAGACTTTAACATTTAGCAGCCATTGTTCTTGTCTTAAGGCTCTTGTCTTGTCTGTCATAGGAAGCCATAGGATGGTATATTAAACCTTCATATATTTTGCGTTCTCTGGAAAACTTATATGGTTGTCTGTGTGTCCTGCCTAAGATAACACGTTTTGGAAAAGATAGGTTCCTTTTATGTTAATATAGAAATTGTGTTTTCACCATTCTGGAGATTTCATGCCTGTGTTGATGCGACTTTAAAAAAATACATTATCATTTAAAAAATTTTGGCCCATAATTTTAGCAAATAAATAATAGTATTACTAATATCCTTTATATTATTAGTCCATGTTTTCATTCTTTATCATGATATAGCTAAACACTGAATGACATCTTCTGTTTTTCTTTTATGATGGCCAAACTTCAGTTTGCAATTAATATTAGTATATGCAGTAATGCAGTGTTTGCCAGAGTGTGTTCATTCACCACATCAATTCCATATTTTGTTAATAGGTATTAGTGAAAAAAGCTTTTGAGGCCAAATAAGTTTGGAAGAGGTTATAGTAAACATGTGTGTTTTTTTTCCCCACATTCTATTTTTTTTTTAACATCTTTATTGGAGTATAATTGCTTTACAGTGGTATGTTAGTTTCTGCTGTATAACAAAGTGAATCAGCCATATATATATACACACATCCCCATATCTCCTCCCTCTTGCGTCTCCCTCACACCCTCCCTATCCCACCCCTCTAGGTGGACACAAAGCACCGAGCTGATCTCCCTGTGCTATGCAGCTGCTTCCCACTAGCTATCTATTTTACATTTGGTAGTGTATATATGATCATGAGTTTTGTATATGGTTTTCTAGAGGCTTGTAATTTGTGAATCTCCAAAAACACATGTTTAAATACTCAATATTGCTCAAACTGACTTGTCCAGGGACCCCTTTTTTAAGGAGCATTTTGAAGTTCCTAAGTATACTTTTGTATATGCTGTGCTGTTATTGACATTAATCCTTGACCTTTGAAGTTTATCATTTGGATTTTAGATGATTACTTTAGCTAATGTTAAAATTAACTGTTTTGAGATGAATAAACTAAAATATTTGTACTTGCAGAGATTTTGGCAGTGGTGCCTGCTTGACATTCTCATTTGGATGTCTCACATCCTCAGGCTCAACATGTTCAAAATTGTGCTTATTTTGTCCCTAAACTCATCTACACAATTACCCAAACCAGAAATCTGGGAGTCATCATTGATTTCTCCCTTTCCTTCAGTATTCATACACATTTAAACCAAGTTTTATACATATTACTCCCCAGTGTATCTTTTTTTTCTTAGTTAGTTAATTAATTAATTAATTAATTTTTGGATGCGTTGGGTCTTCGTTGCTATGCGTGGGCTTTCTCTAGTTGCGGTGAGCAGGGGCTACTCTTCATTGCAGTGTGCGGGCTTCTCATTTCAGTGGCTTCTATTGTTGCAGAGCACGGGCTCTAGGCACGTGGGCTTCAGTAGTTGTGGCTCGTAGGCTGAGTAGTTGTGGCTCACAGGCTCTAGCACGCAGGCTCAGTAGCTGTGGCACACGGGCTTAGTTGTTCCGTGGCATGTGGGTTCTTCCCAGACCAGGGCTTGAACCCCCCTGCATTGTGCAGTACGTGGGCTTCTCATTGTGGTGGCCTATTGTTGTTGCTGAACAAGGGGTCTAGGTGCGTGGGTTTCAGTAGTTGTGGTTCACAGGCTCTAGCACGCAGGCTCAGTAGCTGTGGCACACGGGCTTAGTTGTTCCGTGGCATGTGGGTTCTTCCCAGACCAGGGCTTGAACCCATGTCCCCTGCATTGGCAGGCGGATTCTTAACCACTGGGCCACCAGGGAAGCCTCCTCAGTATGTCTTAAATGTGTTTATTTTACTTCTCTCTATCTCCATGGCCACCATTGTAGACTAAGCTTCTATCTTCAGTTGTTGGCGCTCTTGTAGTAGCCTGACTGGTTTCCCAGCTTGTTCTCTTTTCCTTTTACCAGAATAATATTTTAAACACTGATTTGATTACATCACCCTACTTCTGAACTTTAGATGTTTTCATTGATTTTCATGGCTCTTGGGATAAAATCAAAATGTTTAACGTGGTTCTTAAAGTTGTTCATTATCTGGCTCTGCCTGTCTCTCTAGCCTCATCTCTTCATCACATGTGGTCCAGCTGTACTGGATTTTATTCCTTCTTAGAAGTACCAAGTTCCTTTCAGCCTTGGTTCCTTTGTTCATGCTCTAACCCCCACCCCTCACCCTTGCCTTGCTTGTTCTTTGTACCTTCTTTGATGCATTGAACAAATATTAAGTTTCTACAATCTACTAGCTGCTATTTTAGGTGCTGGGGATAAAGTAGAGAGTAAAACAAGAAAAAAAATTCCTCATGGAACTTTTATTCTAGTAGTTTATTCATTGCAGATCTTTAATATTCTATTCAGATCTTTAAGTAGAGCATTTCCTCATATTTTGAATCACTTCTCATTAATATAATCAAATAACTAGATTGCTTAATGTCTCTAGCCTTCTAGGATTTGAGCTACCTGAGGGTAAAGACTAGACCACAGGAAGTGCTCATTAAATATTTGTGGAATGAAGGAATGGTGTGCTATTCATATAGAGCGATAAAGTGGAATATGTTACTATGCTACATTGGTTATATGATGGTATTAGTGTAAATGATCAAAATGATGAATTTGAAATAACTGTACATATTGAAGTCAACAGGCAAACAAATGGAAACACTGTATTTGAAAGCCATAACTAGAAAAAATACACTTATATATATAGGTATCTTGTATGTCTACATTATGCTGACTTCTTGTTTTTTAATAGATTTATTTATTTGTTTATTTTTGGGTGCGTTGGGTCTTTGTTGCTGTGCCCGGGCTTTCTCTAGTTGCGGCGAGCAGGGGCTACTCTTTGTTGTGGTGCACGGGCTTCTCATTGCGGTGGCTTCTCTTGTTGTGGAGCACAGGCTGTAGGCACGTGGGCTCCAGTAGTTTTGGCACACGGGCTCGGTAGTTGTTGCTCGCGGGCTCTAGAGCGCAGGCTCAGTAGTTGTGGTGCACAGGCTTAGTTGCTCCGTGGCATGTAGGATCTTCCAGGACCAGGGCTCGCACCTGTGTCCCCTGCATTAGCAGGAGGTTTCTTAACCACTGCACCACCAGGGAAGTCCCTATACTAACTTTTGAAGTAACATTTAGCTCTGGGCCTTATTTGGAACTCAAGAATTGCTGGTCTTTTTGTGATATAGTTTGATGTCTTAGGGGCTTAGTAGAAAAGGCACATTTATTAATTTCAAAACATTGCTTAAATTAATGTTACTTTGTTTTCTAAATTCATTAGCTGCCTAAATTTGCTTTCACTTTAGAAACTAAAACCCTAACTTAAATTATGAAATCCTTTTGTAGGGCATTATTTGAATATGTAAATATGTATCAAATTGTATAACTCATGTCAGATTGTATGACTTATCTGAGTATAACACTTGGCTCGTGTTAGTAATTGTGATGTTTAACCTATTTGTCTAATCTCTTCTAGGCTGCGAAACGGGGGATTCTCTCATCTGGTCGTGGTAGAGGAATTCATTCAAGAGGTCGAGGGGCAGCTCATGGCCGAGGCAGGGGTCGAGGTCGAGGTCGAGGTGTGCCTGGTCATGCTGTGGTGGATCACCGTCCCAGGGCATTGGAGATTTCTGCATTTACAGAGAGTGATAGAGAAGATCTTCTTCCTCATTTTGCGGTACTTTCTTACTGTCCAACAAAACAAATACTGATAATCATTGTTGGGGATAATGGATATTAAAGGGAAAGTATGAAAATGAAATGAATAATTTAAGCCCATTAATCTCACCAAAGGTTTTGATTAATCTATAATAATCCTTTGTTAATTACTTAAAAAGCAAGCTCTAGTGGTTTTTTGTTTAATCATTGTCTGGAAGAAATGTTACTATTCTTACACTTAGTAGGCCTTCAGATTATGAAAGGAATGATTTAGACCTTATTGTTTCAGAGAGGGAAGTCCTATCATTTAGTTTCATTTGATATTTACTTTTAGGAAAAATTTAGCATAATGCATGGGCCTTCCAGATTTTTAAAAATTAAGATGGAATTTTATTTGTTAATACTGTATTCTTGACCTAGCTAACCTAGAAATGACACAAGACAAAATTTTGGAATATGATCTTGACATTGCCTTTTTTGGTGCCAGGGTATAATTAAAGGGAGTCAGTCTAATTGCAATGGACTTCCTTCTATGAGGAAGGAGAATAAGATTCTAGTCCCTGCTAATCCATTATTTTACTTGGATTTCCTGGGATCTGTTGGGTTCATGTGCAGAATGGAGATATATCTGCCTAAAGCCCTTTTCAGCTTAAATGTTACGATTCTTAGTGATATCCCAAAGGTTAGTTACTAAGCATTGGTCTTGCCTGCAGCATTAGAGTAATTGTTCCGGAGATATAAAGTAAATAACCAGTTCTTTACCCTCAAGGATTTTACATATAATGGTTTAACACAAACCAGTTACACTACAAATAATTTAAAATCAAGTTAAATTTATTAAAACCTGTAAATACTTCAGTAACTTAGAGAAGTATTTTTCACACAGACATACGATGGTGAAAGAACAGTAGAGGAAAGTTTCAAGAGGTAGTAAAGCTGGAGCTTGGGTCTTGAGGGATAGGTAAGCTTATAGATAGGTACACAAATAACTTAACATTTTGAATATTCAGATTTAAATATTTGACAGTTATATTCCAGTTACAAATGTAAAACTATACTTTTTCAGGACATAGAGAGGTATTGAAAGAAATGGTATATGTTTAAGAAATAACTAAAATGATTAATATTTAAGGATGGTGAGTCTGGAAAGTCTTCTGCTTTATGGCTTCAAAGGGAGAAAATAAGGAATCAGCTTTCTAGCTTGGAAATAACTGTAGCTCGATTCTTCCCTACTACACACCCTGTTTCTGCACCTTCCCAAGGGGAAGAAGATCCAGATAACTTAGGTGTATTACATATCGTTATACAGCTAATCAGGAAATTATCAAAGGATATGCTAAAATAATCCAGACAAACAAGGTGAGTTTAGGAATGTGTTTTGATGAGACTGAAATGGTTTTGGTTTTAGAAACAGTCAGAGCCTCTAAATGGATATTCTTGAATGTATTTGGAGATTCGAACTCTTCTCAAAGTTAGTAGTGGTAATTAATGCACATTTAAAAAATTGCCAGTCTTTAAATAAGATAGCTTCTCTATCTCAACCTGTGATTTGGACATATGACAGGTATCAGAAAAAAAATCTACATTACTAAAGGATCATTGATGGTTACAAATTGTGATTAACAAAATGCTTTCTTTAATTTATCCATGGGAACCAGTAGCAGTAATAAACATTACAGCTAAAACTTACAGAGCACTTACTTTGTGGCAAGTATTTTTCTGAATGCTTTTTATATAACTCACCATATTATGAGTATTTTGACAACTCTATGAGGTAGGTACCTTTATTATGCTTATTTTAGAGATCGGGAAAATGAAGCATGAAGAGATTAAGTAACTTGTTCAAGTTTACACAGCTAGTACTAACAGAGCTGGGATCTGACTGATTCTGTGGTTGTTTTCTTTACTATGCCCTACAGAATTTTTCTGTGTGGAGTGTGTGTATTTAATGAGATTGTGGTTATAATTTTATTTGGGGGTAAGAAATAAGGAGGTATTAGTAATGATATATAAAGGACTAAAGTTTTATGTGATAAAGTTGCTGTTTTCTGCTGTTTGCAGAAAAATCTTCCTACACAGGGAAAAATAAAATCCAGCACACCCAAAACAAGCATAATTTAATATGTTTAGCTTTTAAATGTCCTAAAAGAGTGTGGTCTAGAGGAGGGCAAAGTAAGAGTAAAAGCAAGGTCAATTAAAGTTTTGAATCGAAAACTTTTGAATGGAAAACTGGACTCTCATCCTGGTAATTAACTTAGTTACTTTGGAAAAATTACTTAAATTCTCTGAACCTGCCCTCCCATCTTTAAATTGGGAATGATACAAAAAACTCACACAATATTCTGAGGATTAAATATTCTACTTTAGAAAGAATTTAACATACTCTGGAATTGGAATAATGAGTATAGAAGGAATGGCAATAAGGAAGCTCAATCTTTCACCATTGTTTCCCTATTTAAAGAATAGTTCAATCAAGTGTAAGTTACCCTGGTTCTAGAAAGTATAGAATTGTAAATAATATTGGAAAATAGGAACACCCTTTATCATACAATATTACGTCCTAAAATGAATTATTCATAATTTCTTTCTGCTAATCACCCTGAATTGTTATGCATTCTGGGTTATATTTATTGGTATCTTAATATTTTAAAAACCATTAGGATTTTGGATGTTTCAAAATATTTATTTGGAGGAAATACTTTTTTTTAATTTAAAGCAATATGGTGAAATTGAAGATTGTCAGATTGATGACTCTTCACTTCATGCAGTAATTACATTCAAGACGCGAGCAGAAGCTGAAGCAGTAAGTATTATAAATATTCTAATTTATTAAAATTCAGATTTAAATGTTTTATAAATATTGCCTCTAAGTTTTAATCTAAATGAATTTTTTTTGACTTACTAAAGAACTACACTGTGACAGTAGATAGACCATAGGAAGTGGAATTCATGGCTACAAAGAATGTCCTAAAGCAGTTAGGCAGTTTTATATATAACATGAATATTTAGAATATATAGTTAATCACCAAGTTGAATGTCAAGTTGTACTCTCTTGAGACATCAGGAATTCTTCCATTCTCTTTCACAGGAGGTAGGGCCACTCCATTTTCCATTATCCCTTTCTCAGCTGGCCCAGAACAAGTCTGCTTTGGCAGAATGAGTGGTGAGGGGTAAGGTACAAGCGCAGATAGAATCCTGATGGCTGCTCTTCTTAACCATCCCTCATCTGCTACTTCCTAGTCCCAGTTGGCTGAACCCTACAGTGTCCGTAGCTCAGCATACCGCAACTAGGCCTCTACAACTTTTTGCCCAAGACAGGAATATATAGCGCTAGCTTTTAGGGTCCTTTTAGTATAGTTGTCTTAAAATGTGTATCTTGAATTATCTTTCTAAAGAATGACCAGAAGTATATGCAGCCTTGTCTTTCTTCTGGGTTTAAAAGATTTAAAAAAGGAAAATGAGTGCAAGGTGTAACGGGTTCATCAGAACATTTTTAGCCCTGTGTATTCTTTGTTCACGATTGCAGAGAAATAGTTGTACCATTTTGACCTTGGAAAAACGCGTTAAGCGTTCCAAACAGTTAACCTAACGTGAATGAAAGAGTAGGATGGTTTTCAGAAGTTTTAAGATGATTGTGGTCTAAATAAGTTTTGAAAATCTTCTAAATTGATTTGTTCTCTTTGTAGTGAATACTCCCTGCTGGTACATTGCTGGGAACTTACCTGGTAGGAGTTGCTCTTGGCGCATTGCAGCCTATAAAAAAGACTGTTGGTCTGATAAGTCTCAGAAAAGTGTTTAACTGGGCCCTAGAATAACATAGTTTCAGGGTTAGGCGGGTGGGTAGTGGATAGTTTTATAGAATAGGAATTACTCATCCTAGAGTTTTATTAAGTTTTAAGAAATCTTCTATTTAAAGGTCTTTTGTGAAAATAAAAGGGAATTTATAATTGATGAGAGTTTAAAACTTTCTTATAAGCTTATATGTATATGTTATATTGAAAAAGTAGATTTTTGATCAAGTTTTCTCTGAGAGGTATTATTGAATATTAGTTAAGAATGAGCCTCCTTTAAATGACAGCTTCAGTGACAGTTTTCAATGTAATGTTGGATACATTGCTTGAGTACCATCTTTTTATGTTCTATTTACTTTCTAGGAAGTAGTCTTATAAAACAATGGTAATTGTTATGTTCAAATGGTTACAGTATTACCAAGTTTGTGAATTTAGTAACTACTTTAAATATATATATTACTACTTGTCCCTGTTTACTTATGTGGCTGAGAGAAAAAAAAAACCCTCCTGCTTCTTAAGTAATTTTTGGATGTTTTGCTTTTGGTAAGTAGGACCTGTTGACATATATCTTCTTGGGTTTTGCTTTTTCTATCTCAGATGTAAATTTTAATATATATTTTTATACTATGTATATATCTTCCAAATGAATAGCAGTCATTTCAAAGACCTGGGGTTAACGTATAAAGAAAGATTTTAACAGTGAATTATATGAAGGTTGAATAAGTGGCAGAATAACTTAGCTTAAGTTAGATCTGATGAAAGTTAGCTTTTCAGGGTAAATACCATTTTAGTTGGATTTACGTAACAGACTAAAAGGAACAATTACCATTGCTATGATAAACATTTGGAATTAGGTTATAGAAGTTGTTAAACATTTCCTTAAGCCAAAAAAATTTCTTAAAATTTTGTAACATTCTATTTTAGAAGAGGATAGAAAATTAACTTGAAGCTAATCTTATACAAGCAGAATATAGGCTAAAATAGTGTTTTTCAAACTTCTGGATTTTAGGGAACAGTGAGGTTTAGGAATTTAAAAACTAGTGTGTTTGACATTAGGTTTCCAGTGTTTAATTTTGTCAAGGAAGAATGCTTCAAAAGTACAAAAAAAATTGTACCATCATTATATAAAATAAAGAAAAATTTAATACCAAATGTAGGTGGATATAAACTCAAGGTAAAGGATAGTCCTTCCCAAGAAAAGAAAATTGTAAACCTTTGCTAATGTTTATTTCCAAATATTTCATTGTTCATAATTTCTGAATCATTGTATTAGATGACTGAATGTCTGTCTATTTCCTTAAGTCAATAGATGCATAATATTTCAAAGGAAAGTACAGGAATAAGATAATCAAGACATTCAAATATGACTGAAAAGTAAGAAATTTTCCTCAGAAAAGAGATTGAAGTATTTTAAGGAGTAATAATATAAACAGAACCATTTTAGCTTTAGGTTAAGATAGCTAAAGTTTGATTCTGGTTAGTTAGAAGATGGATCCTACTGCTTTATTTTCTGTTTTCCAGTTTGTCTGTCACCACCCCTAATGTACTAAAGGTGCATAAGTACCCAAACAGGACAGAAAAAAGTAACCTCTTCCCATGACTGGTTAGAATGTTAGTTTTCCTACTCTGAATTGTTCCTATACTTTTGTAAGAAACCAGGATCCAGTTTTAGAATACAAATAGTTAAGTTCCTATTTTATAAGAATCAGTCCCAAAGATGAAACTCTACAGTCCCAAACTCAAAGAAGGTATATAGCTTTTTATATCAAAAAGAAAGAGAATCTTGTTCTACTGGTGCATTTTTGACACCCATGCCTCAATTCCCAGTAGTTGTGTGGATTCACTGATTCAGAACTTGTAAGGTATACTTAGAACAGTGCGTGGAACATAGTAAACCCTCTTAATGTTAGCTATTTTTAATATTTGTGTGTGTGTGTGTGTATGTTTAAGAATGAGAATTGATTGGTAAATCAGTGAAACTGAATACAAACAAGATAGAGTGATTTCAAAACTCTCATTCTTGGGGCTTCCCTGGTGGCGCAGTGGTTGAGAGTCCGCCTGCCGATGCAGGGGACATGGGTTTGTGCCCCGGTCTGGGAGGATCCCACATGCCGCAGAGCGGCTGGGCCCGTGAGCCATGGCCGCTGAGCCTGCGCGTCCGGAGCCTGTGCTCCACAACGGGAGAGGCCACAACAGTGAGAGGCCCGTGTAATGCAAAACAAACAAACAAACAAACAAAAACCTCTCATTCTTTAGACCTGAAGATAGAAGCACAAAATTGGATTCATAGAGGATAGTGCAGCATGAAGAGTAGAAGTTGATGGGGCTGACTGAGTAAATAGTAAATTTATAGCAAGAAGTAAATGTATAAGTGGATTCAGTCAAGAGAAATCAAATCATGTATCTCACAGTCTTTGTGTGTGTGTTCTTGCTGATTTACTTAATAGTTATTAAGTGTTGCTGTGTGATGGGCACTGTGCTATGAGAATTAGTAAATCTAAGTCTGAAGCTTGTGACAGTGGCCATGGATGGTAATACAAAAGCTTGAAGCCAATTATCTCCTACCAAAGTTATATGATGATCTCGTTTGATCCTTGGGAAGACAGTATGAAGTAGATGAAGTCTAAACAGTGGCCATGATCTATAAAACTAGGCTTTCCCTATAAGTTCTAAAAATCAGAATTTACATGTTTTGTGGTCCTTTAACGTAACTCCTGCCTAAACATTGTATACTGTGGTTATTACAAACATTAATAAACTTGGTTTTAACCTTCTTTTATAGATAGTTTTATTGTTATGGTTACTAAAAAAAAAGTTAGGTACACTAGGCTTGCAGCTTTAGCTCTTCTGGCCTTAGGTCAGACTTCCCCACAGTGTTTTTACAGAACACTGGTTCTATAGGAGCTCCTCTAGCAAAGGATTCTCTTGTCAGTAAATTTGTGAAGAGCTGCATTTTGTATATTCTATTTAGAATTATAATCTCAATGACTTGAAAAGGCAAACACACCAGTTTAATTTTGCTTAATCCAGCCTTTTCCAGATGTTTATTGTTTCCAGAATCATTTTCCATGTAATATATGGAACCTACCTCATAACTACTTTTCGTACTTATTTTTCTTCCTTCATTTGTCAGGTCTTCAAAGCCTTTTTTAAAATTTTTTCTTCTGTCACTGGGTGTGCCTGCTTTCCTTACGTCCTAATATGGTGCAAACTTTGAATGACTGTGCAAGACTATAAATAGGCAGATGTCTAATGCAAGCCTATGAATAAAATGCTTCAGCTTTTAAACATACTTTTTATTTACACTTCAAAGCATAAAAATGAGAGAAAATTGTAAAATGAACCTCTACACACTCATCATCAAGCTTTAGCAATTATCTACTTATGGCCAATCTTATTTTGTCTGTATTCCACCCACTAACAACCCTCTGCCTCCTTATTTTGGAACCATTCCCAGTCATCATTTCAGCTGTAAACCTTTCGGTGTTTATACTGAACCTGTTCTCTCAATATTAGAGCCTTAAAAAAATAAAACAATACTATTATCGTTCCTAAAAATGATTAATATTTCTTAAGTATTACCAAATACCAGCGTTTACATTTCTCTGGTTTTCTTATAAATATTTTACTTACTTCCTTTAAGGATCCAGAATAAGATTCATATTTTGATTTAACTTCATTGGTATTGTGGAATTATAAATTCATAGATTTAAACATTTCATGGGTATTGATCCATTGTCCTCAGTTATTGATGTCCCATCTTTGGCTAGTGGCTAGTATATAGGTTTGTTCCTGAGTTCTTTTGACAGGAGTCTAGTGGGTTATGATACTTTCTCTGCTTTCTGGTATGAAAAGGTGTTCTAGGTTCATCTTATAAATTTTCTCTTCCAGACTAGGAACTGGCCATTTCTCTAAGGAGCTTTGGTTCTTTTTACTGGGAAAGGTATTTAAAGACCACAATCTGAGTACTAGGGATGCTCATTACTACTGAGTTTGTTACTATAACTAATCTTTCTCAGTGGTAAGAGCTGGGAGTGTGGAAAAAAATGCATATGTTCATATAGACACGTGTACATATACATACATATCCTACTGATATTTCCCATTTCATTCTGTACTGTATGGTTTTTATACACACACGTATACAGGTATACCTTGTTTTATTTTGCTTTACTGCAATTTGCAGATATTGTTTGTTTGTTTTAACAAATTGAAGGTTTGTGGCAGCCCTGCATTATGCAAGTCTATCAGCGCCATTTTTCCAGTGGCATTTGCTCACTGTATGTATCACATTTTGGTAATTTTTGCAATATTCCAAACTTGCTTCTTCTTCTTATATTTGTTCTGGTGATCTGTGGTTATTTAGGGGCACCACAAACCATGCCCATATAAGACAGCAAATTTAATCAATAAATGTGTGTTCTGACTGCTCCCACTGACCAGTCATTCCCCATCTCTCTCCCTCTCCTCAGGCCTCCTTATTCCCTGAGACAAAACAACATTGAAATGAGGCCACTTGATAACCCTGCAGTGGCCTCTAAGCGTTCAAATGAAAGGAAGAGTCACACATCTCTCACTTTAAATCAAAAGCTGGAAGTGATTGAGCTTAGTGAGGAAGGCATGTCAAAAGCCAAGATAGGATGAAAGCTAGGCCTCTTGTACCAGTTATTCAAGTTGTGAATGCAAAGGAAAAGTTCTTGAAGGAAATTGAAAGTGCTACTCCAGTGAACACATGAATGATAAGAATATGAAATAGCCTTATTGCTGATATGGAGAAAATTTTAGTGGTCTGGATAGAATATCAAACCAACCACAACATCCCCTTAAGCCAAAGTCTAATCCAGAGCAAAGCCTTAACTCTCTTCAATTTTGTGAAGGCTGAGAGAGATGAGGAAGCTTCAGAGGAAAAGTTTGAAGCTAGCAGAGGTTGGTTCATGAGGTTTAAGGAAAGAAGCTGTCACCGTAATATAAAAATGGAAGTGCCAATATAGAAGCTGCAGTGCGTTATCCAGAAGATCTTGCTAAGGTAATGAAGGTGGCTACTGTAAACAACAGATTTTCAGTGTAGATGAAACAGCCTTATATTGGAAGAAGGTGCCATCTAGGACATTCATAGCTAGAGAGGAGAAGTCAATGCCTGGTTTCAAAGCTTCAAAGGTCAGGCTGACTCTCTTGTGAGGAGCTAATGTAGCAGATGACTTGAAGTTGAAACGAGACCTCATTTAGCATTCTAAAAATCCTAGGACCCTTAGATTTATGCTAAATCTACTCTGCCTATGCTCTGTAAATGGAACAACAGAGCCTGGATGATAGCATCCAGTAAATAATTTTAAAGTTAAAACTTTAGAGAGTTGTAGATTCACCTTATAAATTTGAAGTGTGTGCTAAATATAGAGATTTACAAAATTAGGTCATAAGAAATTTTTAATAAATAAATTTATGTATGTATGGCTGTGTTGGGTCTTTGTTGCTGCACGTGGGCTTTCTCTAGTTGCAGTGAGCAGGGGCTACTCTTTGTTGTGGTGCACAGGCTTATAATTATGGTGGCTTCTCTTGTTGAGGAGCACGGCTCTAGGCGCGCAGGCTTCAGTAGTTGTGGCTCGTGGGCTCTAGAGCACAGGCTCAGTAGTTGTGGCACATGGGCCTCATTGCTCCGCGGCATGTCGGTTCTTCCCGGACCAGGGCTTGAACCTGTGTCCCCTGCATTGTCAGGCGGATTCTTAACCACTGCACCACCAGGGAAGTCCCCATAAGAAATTTTTGAAGAACTTACTATAAAAAAAACATCACTTACATTTTTTGCCTTTTTTAGCTGGATGAAAACATGAGTTTTATGAGTAGACCTTTTGCATGAGACAATTGGAATTCCTCACAATATATTTTTATGTAATAGTTATAGCTTCAAAAAAATTACAATTTGTTTCTGGCCTTAAATATTATATATAAGTACTTAAAAATTTTTAGTTATATGACATGATGGGGTCATGGACTAAAAACTCCTGAGTTGCATTTTAATAGGCATGAAATATTTTAAATTTATCATAAATTTATATGTGCAGGTTTAAAATTTATACCTGGGGACTTTAATATCATGCAGTTCATAGTCAAATGTCATTGAACATGTAATTGTTTCTACATTTCACATTATGCTGTACTTTGAGATTGTGCTATAAATCTTTTGTGACTATGAGTTATTTTGGTATGTTGCTAACATTGATTTATGTTAGTTCACATTACTTTAATTTGAAAGCATTCTTTCTAAACCAGCCATTTAATGTAACAAGTACTTAGTCGTGACTGTTTACTCAGTTTTACCATATGCAGGTCTGAAAGCTTTGTAGGGAAGTGCTTTAGTTTTCAATAGAAAAGTTCAGGGTTTTTGTTTGTTTGTTATTTTCTTCTTCATTGAGATATTTATATTTTGTAATAGTGATACATCAGACATTTTATGGTATTTTTTGATTATTTGATGTAATTTAAAAATAAATACACATGCAAAATTATTCTTATATTTGTTAAAGGTTTCTAGTTTATAGTTATTATATGAGCCATTTGTGAATTAACAAGAATTAAGATCTACAGCCAGAATCTTGAAGTGCTTTGAGATTGTTGCCTTGAGTAGCAGTTATCCTTTTACTGTAGACATGGAGACATAGTTCTTCTAGTCAGATATTGGCCAGTAGTGAAATAGCTCTACTCGATTATGAGAAATTGTTCCTGTTTTATTTTTATAAAGGAATTTACAGTCACTAGGCTGATTTTTAGAAGTAAATAACAATATAAAGTACATTATAAATTGCAATAATAAATAGTAAATAAAGAAGTAAACCACAAAGCAAAAATACACAACTGTCTTTCACTTGTGTTTAGCTAATTTAATTTAAATATTAGGTACTATAACATTTCATTTTTTTCTTCACAAATTATTAATGTTCTATATTCCAATGTTCTTAATTGTTTTAGGCTGCAGTTCATGGAGCTCGTTTCAAAGGGCAGGATCTAAAACTGGCTTGGAATAAACCAATAACTAATATTTCAGCTGTTGAAACAGAAGAAGTTGAACCTGATGAAGAGGAAGTATGTTTTTTTTCCACTTGTTTTTACCCTTAAATGTTTACGTTTTTATATAAAATGTGATTTTATGGCTGTGATTTTAACATAAAACTTTTATTCCTGAGCCATCTTCCAGGCAGGGGATATCAGATAAATGCAGACAACTTTAAATTTTATGTATTGATGAGAACTGTGGATTGCTAATCCAAAAAGAATATATGAAAATCATATATATACTCAGTTTTCATTTACTCTTAGAAAACATTAATTATTCATTAGATTTTTATCCACAGGAAATCTTGTGATATTTTAAGTTTTAGAGTATATATTCTATTCAGTTGCTTTATTAACATTTCAGGTTTCATTTTAATTCATATCATTTTAGTTCATTAGAATGAATGCCTGCTATATGGTAGATACTGTGATAGGCACAAAAATGAATAAGACACGGTCCCTGTTATCAAGGAGCTTATAATATGGAAGAGGGGGTGGTGACAGACACATAAGAAACTAATTATAATAAAAGGCAGACTGATATGGTAAATAAAGATTTGAACAATATGCTGTGGGAACCCAGAGGAAGGAGTGATTGTTTCTTTCCAGAAGAATCTTGAAGGAGGTGGTGGCAGTGGAGCTGAACCCTGAGTGATAAAAAAACTTTTCATAACCAAGACCTGGGACTGGGAGTATAGTTGAGAGAGGCATTTTAAATGGCAGAGGTATAGGTATGGAAGAGTATATTTTTTCTTGGGTAACAGCAGGTAGTCTGATGGCTGAGAGGTGAGAGCATGAAGAACAGTGAAGTGGAGAGCCCTTTGAAACCAAAAACCTAAAGATAAGCAACTCTGTTTTGTTTAATCATGAAATAAGCTGTAGGAAAAAGTTGAGGAAGTTAAGGAATGAAAGGTAAGGTGGGGAAACTAAATGGTTCCATGTTTTACATTGGTTAGATTTTCATAATGGCACTTCATTTTGTTTGAAGAGCATTCAAGGCTGTTATACATATCCATAGTCAAATGCAAGAATAAAATGTGTATTTTGAAACTCATATACATGATTTGTCATTTTATATTTTAGATTATACCTTTGTCCTTCCATGAGTTTGAATTGAATGGGGAGAAAAGCAGGAGAGCTCCTGGTATTAGGTATTTTGAAAAGTTTGAAAAGTAGACTGAGAAGCTTTTATGAAGGGAATGGGGAAAAGAAAAGAATGCTATAAAAGAAAATGTTTGTTACATACAGCAGAAAAGAAATATAAATTTTGATAAACTTTATTCAAGTTGTTGGTTGATTTAGTGTCAGAGAAGACTTATTGATGTTTTCTTTAAAACAAAAAAAAGGTGTGGAGCAATGTTTTGTAGGTATAGAAGATGGCATAATTTGATAAAGAGAGGCAGGAGAAACGGCATGTACAAAGGCTTACTTTGATATTTTTTTAGTGTCTCTTTGATGCAAGCAATAGAATAGATAGTATTGAGAAACCATTGAGTAAAGATTGCTTTTCTTTGTTTGTTGAATGTTCTAGCTATAGAAATACCTTTTGTATTCGACTCTGTTGAGAGTAATCAGTGTTTAAAAGTGTCACCTTTTTTCTTTTCTTTTTTTTTTTTTTTGGGTAAATTCCTAAATGCATTTTAACCTAAAGTTTCAGGAAGAGTCTTTGGTGGATGACTCATTACTTCAAGATGATGATGAAGAAGAAGAGGACAATGAATCTCGCTCTTGGAGAAGATGATTTGACTGATCATTGATCTGCATATGATAGAACTCTACCTGTGTTTCATTAGTATTATCTAATGTACTTTTACATATTTGTAAAAACAATTTTTGGTAAAATGTGATGAAGATGGATTTCACAAATAGACAAAAGAGAAGAAAACTACCTTCTGAATCCTGTATTTTGAAAGATTGATGTTTGAGTTTTATTTCAGTAAACAATTGGTAAAGACATCACACTAGAAACATATGCAATGTTTTTATTACATACTTCTACTGAACATTACAGAATTCTTTGGGTTCTTTGTAATTTAATGAATAGGTCTGAAGACTTAATGACCAATACTTGTTATAACTTAGAGGATTTTGTTTTACTCCAAATAAGGAATGAATTTGCATTTAAAATCTTAATGAATGTTTTCAAAAATGAGTAGGTAACATAGTACTCTAACTAAAGTCTCCAAGTTATGTATTCATAATATTACATAGTAGTATGCTTAGGCTTTACTATGTATTAGCCTTTTCTTGGACTTGTGTATGTATTTTACAATATGGGTTTTAATGATAACGGTGTATGACTGCTTTGCATTTGAGTCCTTATGCATTCAGATGTTAAAAATAAAGTGGAATGGTCTCTTGAAAAGAAAAGAAAAGAAAAAAGCAATGACAAAAAAGAAAAGACAATGTTCCTTGATTTAAAAAAAGAAAAAAAAAAGAAAAGAAAAAAAAGTTAAAATAAATAGACCATTCCAGATGGTGATCTACCCTTCCCCCCAATTATCACAAAAGGAGCTATAATCACTAACTTATTCTTAATAATAATAATAATGGTTACCAGTACCTTTACAATAATGTTCAATCCATTGTTTAAAATTTATACCACTTCAGTTTGGTTTGATCCTATAAACTTTCAACAGATGTCTTAAATTAAAAGCAGGCTGATTAGTTTGGAACCAGACTTCAAGTAGAGCTAACATTTGGTGAATAAGAAAACATCACATTACATTTTGGATGTATGAAAGAAAACTTGACCATTTGAAGATGTATGAATAAAGAAATGTACTATAGATACTACTTTAGGAAAACACTGTTTGGTAAGTGTTCCAGTCTGATATTTTAAGTGTGCATTTCCTATACTTGTATAAAAAATCTTTTGACATTTGCAACAATATTGTGATTTTTAAGTGGCTTTCTCTGAGAAGTGAACATGATCATTGAAAGTTGATACAGCAGTTTCCAGGAAATAAATGCATTCTTGTAGAATGGAGGGTGGAAGATTACATATTTATCTTTTACAGTTTATCCTTTTGGTTGCAAGTGTTTCTACCCCTCCTGAGAATATAGTGATTATATTAAAAGTCACATAAAAAAAAATTACTGTCTTCCCATACTGGGGTCCTCACAATCACAGACTGTAATTTCACCACCATAGTCTTTTGCCAGTGGAGTGGCTAGTGGATACTGTTCCTCTTTTTCTTTTCTTCCCACACTTAGGGTTAAAGTTGTATATATATTCTTGATGGTAATAGTATTTCATAGGAATGTTTTGGCTTGCAGTTGATGCACATGTTTATATTTAAAATTTCACTATCAGATTTCTTTTGTCAAAATAGTGACTTTACTTGAAACTTCTTTACTTAGAGCTGTGATATATTTTGATGTAGTCTCTTGTATGTTGACTGTGTGCTATTCTGATTCATTAGGTAAGTTTGTTTTCTTTTCTTTTTAGTAGTCGTGAAAGATGCCAAATTGGCAGAGGCTCACGTTTCTTCTCTTTACACCAAACAGGTATTATAAAGAAAGAAAATCTTGCAAAGGCCAGTTAAATCTCCATGCTGATTTTTGGCTTTATAATATGATTAGTAAATTTTAGCATGATGTTTTGCAATTATTGTAAAATTCCCTTATAATGTAACTGAAATCACATACTATTTATTTAAACCCATAAATAGCAAATCACTTTCCCTAATCTTAAATTCTGTAGTAACCTAAAATTAAAATGTTTTACACCATGTTGCTTTGAATGAATCAGAAGACAAGTATGTTTTGATAGGGTCCTGCAGTATGGGGATTAAATATTAGCAACATTCATTAGGTCCATAATTATATTTTTATTATCATTAATATGATTTTAATTATAAATATTACATAGTATGAAATTGCTATTGGATTTTTTCAAATTAATGCGTATGTTTATAAATACTAGTACTCTACATGTACTTTCATGTGTTCTCATTTAAAACTTAAAATATCCCTTTGAAGTAGTTGTTAATTCCCATTTTACAGATAAGGAAACTTAGGCTAATAGAGATGAAATGACTTGCCCAAAGTGACAGCTAGTAAGTAGAAGGACTAAATTTGAATTGCAGGCATTCTGATTTCAGTGCCAACTTTTTTTTAAACCTTTACGTTGCTACCTCCTTCCTCATTATTGATTGGGCATGAGATTGTGTTCACAATAAATGTGGTAGTTGTTACACAAAATTAGTAGATTTCTTGGTCATTAGCCAGTTCATACCTTAACCATCCCTTTTAACACAGCACTTTGTTCATATCTGTTACAGTACTTATGTTGTAATATAATTTATCTGGTTTATATGTCTGTCTTCCCCACTAGATTACAAGCTCCTCTAGGAAGGGGACCATGTCTTATTCATCTTTTTATCTCTAGTGATTATCATAAAGCCTGGCTCATAGTGGGCATTCAGTTGTTTGTTGGATGAATTAATGGATGAATGCATATTTAAATCTCCAACAATGGAGTGACAATTACCTCCCTTGTTAATTCTTATCAATTTTCTAAAAATCTCTCTTGAAGGTCTTCTCAGTCATTGGGACCATCTTAGTAAACAATTGATACTGTTAAGTATTGCACCATTGGGGGTTACAAATACTGATGGAGGAATATACAAGTAGTCTTAGTGGAATTTCCATAGCAATTAGTAGGCTATTAAAATTTTGGGAGTATTAAATGTCCATTCAGGAGTAAAATCGCCTTTTGGTTTCTATCAGTGTGTAAGAATAGAAATGTCAAGAGCCACTAATCTAGTCCATCCCATTAATTTTTTATATCTGAAGATAAGCTAGTGTAGAGTACTGGACAAGGGTTAAGAGATTTAGCTTTTGGTCCCTAGCTCTGTAACTTGACTCTCTGGCCTTAGACAAGTCTCTTAACTTATCCAGGGTTGTTTCCTTGTCTGTAAAATGAAAGGGGTTGGACTAGATGATCTCTAAGGTCCGTTTCACGTCTTTAGTTTCCCTGGTAGTATGTTAGTGTTTGATCTAAACAATTTAACATATCTGTATCAATTCTCCCTACCTGTTGTTGCTGTTGCTGTTTCTATCATCTTATCAGTGGAAACAACTTAGATTTGGTTATGATAATTCATACAGTGTGTCTTGGTACAGTTTTGTATATAGTGTTCCCAAATGTTTGCCTTTGCTACCCAAATTCCTTTTAACCTGGGAAGTGTAGATTAACTTCTGTATTCACACTTTCTCTTCTTGCTTGTAACTTTTCCTCTCGCTTCCAAACTTAAAGTTTAAAACTCTTTCTTATTACAGTATGCTACCTAAAACTTGATAACACGCTTTTAAATTTTGCAGTTCTAACAAGTTCTTTGCTGTAGTATAGATCTGGGCTGAGGTGGGAGTGAAAAAGGGATTGAGATGTAGGTAGCTACTTTTTCCAGGAAAAAATTGAAGGAAATTTTATATCATTGGTTTAAAAGATTGATTAGGATTACCTCAAGGGATGGTTGAGTTGTCATTTTACATATTTCACTCAATATTTTATGTCTCTACGTAAGCAGTGTTGCTTTAACTGTTATTGGATAATTGTAACATTTAAAAATTAATTTTAGTATTTAACCAGTACTCAAGAATTTAATGAAATCATGTTGCATGAATGGGAGAGTATTCCATAGCTCTTGTTTTATTTTGTAATATGATCAAATGTATCAAACAGTAGTTTACTATAAAGATAAGACTTCACTGTTTTAGCTGATTGCCTGTAGAAAGTATGGCTGAGCTTAATTGAAGGAAATTTCTTGTTACTAGAACTGTTTTATGGGGACTGTATTTTCAGTCTTACTTGGAACTAATCACTGGCTCTAAGGGTTACAAAAAGAAGGCAAACAGTTGCTTGTTTGGTATGTTGAAATATCAATGGCTATTGTAGAATATTATACAAACTTTATCAGTCTATATTTTCTTTCTTTTTTCCCCTTACCTATAGTGTGAACTAATTATAGAACATCAGTTTTAGTCCTTCCAGAATTTATGTAAATATTTGTAAGATTTTCTTTTTTCTTCCCTTACAAGAAGTCTTTTAGCCTTTTAAAACAAAAATGTCCTGCATAAAATTCTGGCTTATTAGGTTAGTTCACCTTTTGGTCTTTTGCAGGGCTTTTCTCATTCTTCCAAAACTATATAATTAAAGCAGAAATTTAATCTAGGAATAAATTGTCAGCATACAGTATCTGTAAGGCAGAAAGAAAATTTCCTTTTCCCAGATCTCAGGAACTACCTTGTTCTTGTTAACTTCTTGAACTGGCTAGTTGCTCCGAGGTATGTATACAGCATACAGGCTTTTAGAGAAGAGTAGATTTTTTCTCTCTGATCATTGTATACCTATTAGATGATAGCAGATTATCTTCCAAAATAGCTATCTAAAAGACCTAAGAAAGGAAGAAACCTTGGTGAACATGACTGACATACTCAGTAATTTCTAATGAAAACTTGTTTAAAGAAAAATTTCATACTTGTTCAGTAGAAAAATTCCTAATTTGGTTAATAACTTTCTTGCAGTTTATCAGTATTATGTACTCATTACTTAGTATAATTAAAGCGTTTCTATTTTACTTTTTTGTATCAATTTATTATATTTGCTTCTTCCTCATCCCTCCCTCCCTGTCACTTTACTTCATCAATCCTCTCATCTTCCTAATCATCCAAGTTAGTCTTCCTTTGTATACGAAACAGTGTCTCATTTTGATATGTTCCTTTTTATTTACTTTTGTTGTTAATCATTATGCTTAGTATAGTATTTTATGTCATATAGTGTGACTGAAGAATGAAATGGTTATCACATGGAGTTTAAGGAAATGAAGTCCTTGGGAAACTTAAGACAATTGTTCTTGCTTTTATTTTATATCAATATTTTGGAATTTGTTCATGATTTCTTAAAATTACTACTTTGCCAACCCACACTGATAAAAATTTACTATGTGGTCAGTTATGACATTTCTTAATCAAAAATTTTAGATCGTAACCATGTTGCAGAGCTGTGATCTTTGCAGCTTAATGTTTCAGTGACGCATGATGCAGAGAAGTTTTGTTAAATCATTTTAACCCAAGGCTGATCTTTGTGAAATTTGTCTGGAACTTTCATTTTGATTCCTTTCTCAGATTTTATTTAATGTTTAAAAAAATTAGAGGTCAGTGTATGGTATGATTCAGTTTTTAGATTTATTTACAGTTTTCACAGTTTTTTTTAATAGTCTTCTCTTTTTCCAGCAGAGAGAGATCATCATTGCCTGAATTTAGCTTTGTGACTACAACAGCAAGACCTGTTCCTGTCTGGAGACGACTGTTATAATAATATGATACTATCATTTTATGTTTGCCCTTTATCATTTTGAATAGATGTTTACATGTACCATAATTAGCATTT